TTTTATTGATTTAATTGCTTTTCTCATTTAACATGGATGCAGTACAACGATGTTTTGAAAACTGAATGAAATTTAATTTTGTATGAAGAATTTAATAAATGAAACAGACTGTAGTTAACGTGTGTTATTTTACAATAAAATATTACAATTCTTATTTATTGTTGTCTGAAGAGAATTTTGTCAAGTTCCTCTTTTTCTTCTAGAATGAAATATATTCATTGAAAAGGGGAGTTAAAGATCGTTTTAAAACAAGAGACAATGTTCGTTGTGCTTATCGATGCTTGATAATATAATATGTGAATTCTATAGAGGATCTGTTTAAAAATAATATGCAGAATTTATTCTTCTAGTAAAGCTATAATGTCATGTAATGTTACTTATTAATATTATAGAAAATAATAAATAACAATAAAAATGAAGTTTCCTAACTTTCGCCAGACTTTATTTTGTTTGATCTATAGAATGTTACACTGAAAATAAAGAACATTGCTATTTAATAGGCCTTGGCGCTCGCTTGAAATGGAATTCAATTTTCTTGAACTTTTTAAGATGAATTAATTCAAAGTTTTAAGGTAGTTATGAAGAATATAACTACAGTTCACTAGTCACTGTGACTAGATGTTGCTACAGAAGAAAGGTAAATACTAATATAATTATAATTTGTATGATCAAATTCGTCTTATCTATGTCAGGTCTTCTACAATAAAAATAATTTCATTGCTCTTTTTCTAAATAAAAACTTCAGAAAACATAATTATCACCATTTTTTTAATTAGCATTACATTATTCATTATAAATTGGATGAGATGAGTTTATTTATTTAAGATTAAAATCATTGAATTACAGTGATTACCTTTATCACTCGTATTCTGAGCAAGACACTTAATAACGTGACAACACCTAATAGTGAATGAAAATTCTAACCGATATTTGATAGATGAAGACGAACATTTGTCTCTTGAAAACTAAACCATAGAAATTGTTTTGAACAATAAATTTTTCGTGAAATGTTTTCTTTCCTTTAGAAAAGCCAAGCAATTATAAAAACTTCAACATTTATTTGAAAATAGTTGATGTGCATTTCAGATCGCCATAAAATAAAACTAGGTGAAACTATTCATTTGAGAAACGAAGCAAACAGAACGAAGTGGATTCCTGGATCCTTTGAATTTTCTGAATCGCCATTGAATCTTGTAGATCGCCACTATATCCTCGATAGACGAAGTCCGCTTTTCCCCATTGATTTTATTGGATCAGAGAAAGCAAAGTAGAAGAATATTTTCCAATTAAATATAAATAACTGCCGTTAACTAATAAGATGCTCAATATGATTATTAAAACAAAGCTTTAGGATAATCTATTCAGCATACGTGTTTATCACTCTCTCGTTAAACATTGTAAACTTCATCAAATTTTTATGTACAGTCTAGTATTAACAAGCGTGAATATGATTCTTGCTGTGGAGAGTATTTAACAGTTTTTTCTATTGAAACCAATGTAATCAATCTGTTCAAATTCTTCTTGTCTTGACCTTTTTTAAGAACTTCTTTGAAAACATAGTAAATGAGATATGAAGATTTTGATTTAATAATCTCTTCTTTAAAATTAAGTGAATTCTAATGATCTTTCTTAATGTCGATGACTGTCTAAGTTATTCGGCTGATAAGTTTTTGAAGCATAAAATAAATCTAATGATGGATCATCAATAGATATGTGACTCATCATAGTTAAAACCAAAATAATAGAACAGGAGAGAATTTTTTCAAGTAATTGTTTTGGATAATCTTAATACACGTCATACATATTAGTATGGAACATAACATGACGTTTAGACCAATAAATTTACATCATTTATTTTCTTTTCTAACATCTGCTGGATTTTATATTAAACGATAGATGAATATAAATGATGACTTGAGTGGAAATCAATTTGATTCATAATGAAGTTATAAAATCGGATGTTTATGAATGTTCCATATGTTGTTCACCCGACAAGTTTATTCTGAAAGAACAGAGTAAACACTTTTCTTCGCCATGAGTCATGAATGATAGTCAAATATGACAAGATCATCAATAAAAAAATATCATAGAAAGTAGAAATAAAACAAGATAAGTAATGAAAACAGTGACTGTTATATCGACTAATGAGGAAGAGCTCACTTGTATGACGCGATCATATGTGGATACATGATGGTAAAATTAATGCAAAAATTTTACAATAGAATATACAATTGTTCGCTGATTTTAATGCTCATAAGAAAAGAAAACTTAGAGGAATTCGGTCGATCGTTTACTTTTTGCATAACAAAATTATAGTTTATCAATTTTTCGGTTAGTTTTATTTTGTCACTGTGGCTCTTCGTCTTCGTCTTCGTATTCAGAGGATATAGGCGACGTTCCGATTATCGCATGAATTTTCTGAATCAATTCTTGACATTTAGTCGCAAGATTCTTCTTATTGATATCGTTGAAATCGAGATACAGAAGATCAGAAATCGAAAGACTGAGCCAATCTGATGGTTTTCACTTTTTGTCTTGATTGAATCCAATAAGACAAGGAATAACTGGTTTACGTAACTGCAAAGCGTAGGTAATTTCTTTCTTGCAATTGGCTGATTCTTGATATTCCGGAGTGAGAAAGCATACGAAAACGCCACAATTTTGGACGCCTTCTGCCATACTATGATGAAACAATAGAGAAAAAGAACAATACAATGCTATTTATTTTATCTTGAAGTAAGAGATTCACTCATTCCACCGTGTTTGTCCATCCATACAGGCCATTTCTGTCTTCTCTAGATAATAGTAGATATCGGAAATAAGTTGTTGGTGATTCCATTGATACGAGAGCATTATATGATTTGATGGGTACTCGATATTATTCATCGTTTCGATTGAGGCAGAAGGAAAGCAGATCAAATGAATACGAAAATAATTTTACGTGAGAATCGGTTTAACTGCTCGATTTTTTCAATAGAAAAAGAAGAAACGCGTAATATTATTGCTGCCGCATTAAATTATTGGTGTATCTATGAAGGACGATTTGCTCAAAATAATATTTGTCTGAAGGATTGCCGACACTCTTCTCATATGAATGCACTCATGCGTGTACAGAAAAAAAGCAAATAGATGACTATGATCGACTATTACGACGTGTCTCTTCAATCATTTCCAATTGCATGCGACTAATAATATTTTTCAGACCACTTTTAATGCTCGTCCTCACTGTTTTAGAAATTTGTTTTAGTATGTTTTCGTTTATCTGACTGCAAATTATTATATTGAATAGTAATAGTATTTGCACTAATAGGTGCGAACTCTAATTCATTTGATATTTTCATCTTGTGTTCAAATTTTTCAATATTGGATTTTGACAGATTTTTAACTTTATGCAAGATTTCTGCCTCAATAAGACAGCTGTTGAATCGCTATATAGTATTGGATCAAAGAAGATCTGCTACCTGCTAATTTAATTAGTCTCCAATTTACAACGACACGCATTCGTTCATCTTTTACAGTCGCTCTTCTACTTCTCTTATGTCTCTTTTCTATTCAATAATATATTATCTCGCAGATTCAAAACAAAATAATTTACTTTTCTCGAAATTAATCCAGGAGAAATGCAGCAAGGAATTGCTTTCAATCACTTTTGTGAAGCTATTTTGGTAATAAAAAATGTACACTTAGAGAAGTAATTTAGATCAACTAAAATGAAATGATCGAATCGAAAGAACTGTAATGTTTGATTGTGTGCCTAAAATACAGAAGAGGATTAGACTGAGGTTTAGGTTAACTTGAAGGTTGGTTTTGAAACTAATTGAAATAAAATTCATAGGAACTTAATCTAAATCAAGACAAATAAGCATTTTTGGAACGATGTGTCATCTGCAAACTAAATCGTTTTCAATTTTACTTCAATTTTTATTAGATTAGATTTGTATTTAACTCAATATTAATCGTCCATTTTCAAATTTTCACTGGCATAGATGTTGGCAGAAATATTATTCAGAACAAAAAATAGAATCATGCTATCTGTAATTAAATCTAGCTAATATGCTTGTAAGGAACTTCATGAACTATCTCAGTTGGTAACTAACTGAAATTCTTTTCTTTTTCCTTATGTTTAATAAAGAACTTCCTATCTTTAGAAATATATTTCACTAGCAACCGAATGCATTTGCAGAAATATTCTCACTAATATATACATGTATCGACAAAACTATTCTATTAAGGACTCAAATGCATTAGGCAATTTACTCAATGGTTCGTCCTATCAGCGATGTTAAACGGTGGAATGGGTTTGACAATCATCATCGAAAGGTAGCCAGAAGAGCGAAATATATCATGATGAATCTTTTCAGATTTTAATTTGAACAAAATGATTATTTTCAATAAAATCACTTTATCGATTAAACGATAATTGATTGTTCGAAAAGATTGTTTTAAGATCCTGTTTCTTAACGTGCAGGTGCTGTTTTTAAAACTATTTTTCATATTTGCTTCTTTGCTGATATCCATTGGTTCAATAAGAAAAAAACTAGACGGTCTTTGCTGTTTACTCAAAACTAAAATTGTGGAAGAAAGGTTACCATTTTTCAAAATTTCTACTCTGTTGTATCCTTCAATGGTAGTTAAACTGAGAAAACTTTACCATATGAAGGGAAATGCATTCTGTCCTGCTATCTATACCATCAGTCAGCATTGACACGAGAATATTGTTCTATTTGTAATTATGTGAGTTGCATTAGTCACTATCCTGAAGTCACCATCATAAGTTATTCTTTACTATTCGTTGATATTTTAATACTTGTTTTGAGTTTGTCATAAAGTTCATTCTAATTTCCTTTCTTTTCCGACATCATCTTATTTATTTTATCTAAAATAAATTTTCTCAAAAAAGGAAAAAAAACTCTAAGCGCCAGTAGTATTTAAAAAAACAGTTGTTTTTTCGTGTTTGTTTATTACTAATTATATATTCGTCTGTTCTATTTCATTAAGCAATGAACTATTCAAAAACACTGTCTAGTCTAGATCTATCTAGTGGCAGTCAAGCTAAACCATCACGCCCATTTAACATCAATGAAGTAAAAGAAATGCTTGAACAAAGAATTCAACAAGTCATTGATCGACAATATGAATATGATTGTGACAAGTGTACTCAATTATCAAAAGATATTTCACAGATAATAAAAGATGCGATGAAATCATTAAATTATGATCGATACAAATATGTTATACAAGTTGTAATTGGTAATTGTCAAGATGAAAACGTAATGATGACATGTCGTTGTTTATGGGATGTTGAAACAGATAATTATGCAGCATACGTTTATTCAAATACGAAGATCTTCTGTGCTGTTACTGTATTTGGACTTTATTATTTTTAATCAAGAAAATCAAAGAAACATTTCTATTATATCAAAATAAACGCAAACATAAAGACACAGATCAATACAATAAAATGACAATACTTAATTAAATATATACAACATCAAACAAGCAAAAAGAAACACCAAAGAACTCTTAGGAAAAAAGACAGGTAGGAGATAATGCTTAAATAGAAAAAAATCAAGCAAATGGACGGAAACTAATTTATAGAAAAACAAAACAAAACACGCAAAGGCAATTATAATGCTAACCAATACAATTAAGAAGTTTTTCGCCATTTTTTTCAAGTATTTCTAAATATTTCGTATAATAATAATCCCATTGTTGAACACGCTCTTGATATTGACGAAATTCATGTTTCCATCGTGTTTCTTCTTCACTAATATTTGCTGCAATATAAAAAGAAATTATTTTACTTTCAAATACATTTTAGTATGAACGTACAAGTGGCGCTTGCTAATTTTGGTATAAAATCAAGCCAAAATGAACAATAATCAGCGCGAATTGCCGAACCATGATCAGGACCCAAATTTTTACTTAAATTAATATTTAATACGATATGTTCTCGACTTGGCCATTTATACTGACGCCATTCATTGGCCCATTTTGCATCATGTCGTTGATTTGGATTGCTTAATTGTTAGAAGAAGAAAAAAGACATAAACCTATTAGCATATAATATGCATGAAACAAAAAACAAAACGCTCGAGGTTCTTTCTGTGTCTTTTTATGAAAAGAAAGATGAGAAGTAATGTTTGTTTTCAGCACTATGCGATGCGAAAGCTAAGATCTGCAATATCTATCATATTTCTTGTGTCATTTATGTTTGGATAGATGCAGCAAAAGAAAATTTTCAGATACAATCACAATATTTGATTGATGCTTTCGTTGCTCAAACTAGAGAAAAACAGTACTGTTGATCAAGATTTTGAAGTATTTCGTATTGTATATTTCGTACAAGATAAAATAATTTAGACGTATTGAGATATAATTTGCAAAAAAATTAATTTTACACTACCGTTAACATCGTTGATCAAAGTTTAAATGCTCATGTAATAAGCATTGGATAAAAGAGAGGAATATTTAAATTGATAGAAGGAACTTAACTCGATCTCATGTATTAGTTTGTCGAATTGTATTAGGGTCTCTTCAAAAATTCTATGATGTCAGATATAAATGAAATATGAATTAAATTGTATACAGTATTTCTTTTTTAATTCGCATGAGAATTAGTGATTTTGAAAAACAACAATATACGGTTGTATCTCACTTTTTCAATACGTTGTCTTTTATTATATTTGAAAGTCAAACTTTGTTTGTATTTTGTTTTCTCTCGTAAGTTAATGAATTGAACAACAATTATTAACAGTCAATTATTTTGATAAACTACTTAGCGAGCTGTTCCTTGCCATAACGTAGTTCAATCAGTTGCAAATCTGGCGAAACGCTTCGAAGAGTTTTCTCTAGTTTTTGACAATGATAAAGTTGTCAAAACATTGGACCTATTGTCTATTCTCATCTACTTAAGAGAAATTGCAATTTTCCATCTGTATCCACCCAAAAATGAACGCAATGACAAATAGATCGTGCAGATCTCATGTGAGTTACATTGTCTAGCATTGAAAAAGTATTTGTTATCATGTATCTTTTCATGAAAACATGACGCTAAAAGTTTGTTTCACTCTTCAGAAGATTTTGTATCTCTTTCAAATTAAATAGATCAGAATAAAACATTTCTTATTAAAAGATTGTTTTATTGCATTCAATAATAAATCGCTACATAGAAAGTCATCATTAAATCCTTAGAATACTACTATTCATTGTTGCAATATCTTACTTTTCATTAATCTCAGAATATTTGTTACTTTAATTCAAAGAAGTTTTTATTTCGAACAGGCTGCTGACAATAATTCATTGTATTACTCATATCATAACATAAAATTTATTTTCGGGATTTACTGAAATAGTGGATACGCTAATAACCAGCGAGTATAAGGCTCTCATATAATCAATATAGAGGTAGTTTATATTGAAGTGATCGTTTCATCAAAACTATAGTTTTGCTTTAATTTATCAATCAATTTTCTTCCTCTCTCTCTCTCTCTATGTCTTAGTTCAACATATCGTATCCAAGTTTATTGTTTCTTTATATTTGTACATTTGAAAGTTTCCTCTAAATGATCTGATTTCTCCATAGACGTCTAAAGATTGGGAAAAGAACATACATCAAGGATACCCCGATTAGCGTGCTCATTCTCATATAAAACAGTTTATCGACATTTTTAATGAGTATATCATTACCGAAGGATCAATTATTGTTATCATATGAATATTACAATGACAAGTATCTTGATAGATGGTAATCATTTAGACCTAACAATAACAATCTGTTTAGATTTTTTTCTTCGACCAACTCATTTATCATTGTTTTGATTTATATGCATGATACAGATGAGTATTGATCTCATGAATATCTCTTGAGAAAGTAATGGGAGAAAGTAAGCAAACAAACTAATCAATTCGAAATCTTTGTTTGTTTGTTTGTTTGTTTGTTTTTATGATCAAACAGTATCGATTACCTGTATTTGGCAAAATTCGTCCAATAGGCCATTATCTTTTGACTGATAATTATTTCTTCATGTGTATAATGAAGATCGTCAGTGTTATTTAATGGTTCACCAAAAATAAACATGATCTCATCAGCTAAAGATATGAACAGTATTTATGACAAAATTTTTAAAATAAAATCCGTAGAAGATATCCAATTACCATGAAGTACACCCATCCATTCATGCCAAGGACTGGTAGAAGAACGCAAAGTAAAATGGTAAAAATATAGTGGAAGATTCTCTTGTGCATAGATATCAGCAAGAAACACAGTTGGACATGTAAAATGATAATCTCCTGAAAAGAAAAATAAACATATCCAAATATCATCTATACTAAGAAAAAAACAAAGTTCTTACCAACAGCTAAACTCAGCTGAATAGCATTCTGTACTGTATTATTATAATCATGCCATCTTGTATACGTTTGTAAAATACTTTCCAATAGCATGGGTGCTCTTTCTGTTGGATATGTTGGTATATATCGGAAATATTCTTTTAGCGCATGTTTAAATGTTTTATAATCAACATACGGCGATGAATCAATACTAAGATTCCCATATGGCACATAAACATTAAAATATGAACCTTCATCTTTATTTACACCCAATAAAATAGGACATTTTTTAAAATCACCTTTAATTAACATTTGTTCAGGATCATAAGGTATAAAATCAGCATCAATAGTTGGTACAAATGTATAACCAACAGGACCGCCATTATATGATTCAAGTGCCCATGACGAACGAAAATGATTTTGACTTAAAATAGGATAATTTTTAACACATTTAAATTTATCGTCTATTGTTATCATACGTTTTTGACATTCACGTGGTATATATGCATATTCAGGATCAGTAGGACCTGATTCATAACGCTCAGTTATGTAACGTGCGAAAATATCTAAAAATTTCTCTGAGCGATACTTTGCTATTTGTGGACTTAAGACGGCCCATTTCGCACTTGGACCAGCACTCTCTAATATAGCATTATTGAAAAAAGGCCGTGATTTTGGTGATAATAAATGTAAACCAACAGAAACTGCACCAGCTGATTCACCAAATAAACTTATACGTTGAGGATCACCACCAAAATTTTTTATATTTTTATGTACCCATTCAATTGCTAGTGATTGATCATATAAACCTTGATTACCTGGTGCATCAGATGTACCCAAATAAAGAAAACCAAGCGATTCAACACGGTATTCCATTGAAACAACAATCACATTTTGTGTTGAAGCTAGTATTGAACCATCATAAACACGTAAAGAACTCTAAAGACAGACATTTTATACATTACGTAATGTATTTTATATTTACCGTTGATTAACTTACCGATCCTGATGTAAAACCTCCTCCATAAATCCAAACCATCACAGCTAACGGTTGTTGTTGTTGTTGTTTTTGTGTTGTTATTGGTGTCCAAATATTTAAATATAAACAATCTTCACTTAATGGTGTGAATGGTGCCCAAATTTTTTCACCTGTTGTATTGAAAAATTCAATAATCATTTGATAACATGAATTAGGTAATTTTGTTGCATCGTAAATAGTACCACGAGCCCATGGTTGCTTTAATATTGGTTTACGAAAACGTTTCTCGCCATTAGGTGGCTCACCATATGGAATCCCAAGAAAAGCGTAAATACTTTTTGATTCATTTGGTGTTGTTGTTGAATTTGAGGTATAAACTGAAAAATCCGAACGTATACCACGTATAAGACCTTGTGCTGTACATCGTACTAATGGATCTGATGAATAAACACATGTTTGAGCAGTAATTTTCCTATTGGAAATATAGAAGAGAAATATGAAAACAATTGAATACAGCATTAACTTGAATCGCACATTCGTGATTTTTACAAAGAATATTTAATAATGGTAGTAATAATAATAATGGTAATGTCAAAAAAAACAATAAAACGTCAGGAAAACGCAAATGTAAGTTCTAATACGCTTTGATATATATATATAAATATATGTATCTTTTTATAATGAAGAACAATGAATCAATAAATCAATAAATTATTGAACATTAAAAAAGCAAAAGATTATCATCATTCTTATTGACGTAGTTATACAATGCGCGCACGAGTAGCAGTCAGAACGAGCACGTATGTACCAATGCGTTTAGTGTTCTGTTTGTATATGTACGTATATATATATATATATATATATGTGTGTGTGTGTGTGTATTTTCACAGTTGCCAATTGTAGCAATTATGACCAACAACAAGAAAGAAGAACGATAGAAGGAGCGAGAGAAGGAGAGAGAGAACCAGAGAAATGCAGAAAAACGAAATCGATTTCTTTTCTATTATGTTAGCGCTTTTCTTTCGTTATATACACGTTATATTATATATATATATATATATCACTATAGAATATGAAAGAGGAACATAAAGTGATTCAATATTGCTTATTTCTTGTAGAGCAAACTGTGCACTGTGAATTCAGAAGCGCCCTTTATTGCTTTGATTAGCGACAGGTGATAAGATCTGTTACTTAAAGAGTCGTAACAGTTGATGCTTCCTTTATTTCTGCCTTTCTCTTATTCTTTCTTGCTTATCGTTGTCATAACGCTTGCCGATGACGAGAATTATTAGTATTATTATTATTAGAGTACTGGCATAATCGAGTTGCCTTGGGTCGATAATAAGAGTAATAACGGCAATGAGAAGAATGTGTTTTCATGTATCGATATCCATACAGCGTGATAATTAAATTGTTCGCACCTTCTAAATTATCTCTAATTCAATTGGATCGAAGAATAATCTATGTGATGTAGATAAATAATCCTGTAAAAACTTTCACCTGTAATCAAGTAAATGCGTGCATTTGCATTGTCATTAACGTCATCAAATATTTGTATATACGTGTTTTCTTAAGACTTCTTGAATTTTATATTTTCCATTATGTTTGTGTTGTATGTGTGCATCGTTCTTTTTTCAGTCCTTTATTGTGTGTTCCTTGTTCTGCCAATGGTTTTGGCTTTTTCTCTGTATAAATTAAAGCTAGAATTCATTCTACGTTGTCATTCATCTTCATGATTATCATCATCATCAGCAGCAGAAGCTCGAGAATCTTGTTTTCTTCTTCTGTTTTCTTTGGTATGTTTGTTCTATGTGATAATGTATTCATTGATATGACTTCAGAAAAGCCAAACGAACTTAATTGTTCTTGTTGTATCTTTTTGTTATTATCGTGTGCTGCAACTCAAGATGTATACATCGACACATAAGACGTTGACAGTTCTAATCATGGCGCAATCAGTGATTGTCTATATCGAGCAATAATCAGCGTTATTGCAGATTCTCATCTAATACTCGTTTGTGTTTTGTGCCATTTTCTGACACTTCTTTAGTAATCTTTCTATAGTGCATTATTTGTTTAAAGACAACTCCAGGCAACTTGTTAACTAAAAAGAATAATCAAGAACTTGAGCGTCTGTTATGAAAATCTCTCTATTCATCGAAGTAATATATATATATGAATGCAAGAGAATGTGAAAGTATATGGTTTAGTAAATCGGTCTAATACTTGGAAATTTCCTTCGGCAATATTGTCGCTCGTTATGTCCCACGAGAAAGAAGTTTCAAACGTACCAAATCAATTAAAGAACTCAAAGTCTAAAAATAGGTTAAAGAAAAAAAGAAAAGCACGCTCTTCTGCCCCATTAGTCTATTGAGAGGTATAGAAAAAAATTTCCTTCCAATATACAAGAACATACACATATATAAATAAGAGCAACAGCTGCTGTTTGCATCCTACTACGAAACTATTCTTCAACAACAATGAACAGGATACAGATCATTAGGAGTGGATATAGAGAATGACGACTAGATTATATCTGATGTAGTATATGCACCAGCGGCAAACTAAAGGAGATGATGCGTGATGGAAGAAGAAAAGCAAAAATCATTTGTCATTTGTAGTAAAGATCATTTCTCTTTTTTCGCATCGATATATGTGATTAGATGAGATAGATCGAATGTTACCCTTAAGCTACTTGAAAGGACAAAAACAACGATTGTTTCCTAATGTTCACTAATATTTTCTTATCTTACATAATCAATTTGCCAGAAGCACAAAGAGATAAGCAAAAAAAATGAGTGAACAGATGAATGTTCTCCCTCAAAATGTTATTTCTTTTAAAAGAAAAGAAAAGAAAAACAACAACAATATGAAATAATAAAATTCTGGACTATAACAGATAAAAATTGAGGATAAAGTATGCAAAAAAGCAAAAAGCAAAAAACATAATAGAAATTAACAAAAATCTATTAACTCATTTTCGTTTGATGATTTATCTTTGAACATAAACTTGTACCGGATATTCCCTGATGACAATAGAGATTAGAGAAAAAACTAGACGCCACATATGTCAAAAGGAAATAACGATAAACATTCTTCTATTCTAATATTTACAGTGAAACTTCTCAACAAATAAATGACTTTATAATGATTTATTTGAAAGAATTGTCATTCCATACAACAGAAATTCTTTTAATGATTGAACAAATATTTTTCCTTATTGCATATTAAGTGAACAAACATCCATACATTTTATATCAACTACGTTTCAAAGAAATTCATCTAGAGATAGCCTACGAAAATTTATTACTTTCAAAGTTAAGGTTTCATCGTCTTGTCGTAACTGATATGCATATGTAATTAATCGACATATCGAGTAATTATTGAAAACATAAATCTTGTTGGAGAAGAATTCCAGCAAGATTTTTCATTTCACATAAAAAGGATTCAACAAAAAGCTATGATTTGAATGCAAAAAACCTGTATTCATATAGTACTTTACAACGACGGAAATATAGATATTATATATATATATATATATATATACATTTACAAACTCAATATGTCACTGACATCTATCAATTGATTAAAGTAAAAATTGAACTTGAATAAAAAATATCATTAGTCACATTTTTGTAACTTTATTTGACATCATTAGATTGCTAAATTGTGTGAAATAAAAAGATGAAGGTGAAATTTGATAAATTGATTGGTAATAGTTAAGTAACAAATCAACGAATGACATCGTATTACGTTTGAACTATTCATATATTCTGTTCGTTTCTCTTGCGTTCGTAGAAAATTTTTTGGTGACCTTGTATTACAAGTAGACTACGTTTGATCATTAAATTTGTGAAAAAAAATGGCTACGGTTTCTGCTGATAAGTTACGTCTAGAAATTCAAATAATTCTCAAAGATGCTGATTTAAATACATTATCATCAAAGAAAGTTCGACAAATGCTGGAAACTATATTTAAATGTGATTTCACTGAGCGAAAACGAGAAATTGATGATATTCTTATGGCTGAAATAACAACACGTGATATAATACCAATTCCAATAAATCAAACAAGTATTGAACATAGTCAGGTGAATGATAATTTACAATGTCAAACAACAGATGACGATTCACAAACAAAAACAATAGAAGCACAACCAAATAATAATGATAATAATCCACAAACATCTAAATCCGACGAAGAATTAGCTATGGAAATTCATCAACAAGAAAATCGACCAAGCCTTCGACGAACGATTGTAATTTAATTGTTATAAATATTTATTAAAAAATAAAGAACAATATTTTTTTACATTTTCCTAAGAGTACTTCTAGTTCAGCAACATACAAGAAACCAACAACACCATCACTTAAGATTGAACGTCGACGAACATGTTATAATAAGGAGTTAGATTTAAGTGATCAATTAGCTTGTGTCGTTGGAGGACATCAAGTAAATTATTCAATCATTTTGATTCAGTTTTTTAATGTTTTTTTTTCAGATGCCTCGATCTGAAGTTGTTAAGCGTATGTGGGCTTACTTTAAAGAACATAATCTATTGGTAAAATCATTTTCATATTTTTCTGTCTTTTAAAATTTTATACATTTAAATATAGGATCCGATAAATAAACAGTATGTAAATTGTGATGATACGCTTGCGAAACTATTTGGTATGTTTGTCAGGTATTCAAATAGATAGATATATATGAATTTTCTCTTAATTTCAACTAGGTCGAAAACGAATCCGTGCATTTGGTATGCTAAAAGATCTCGCCAGACATATGAGTGATCCAGATAAACAACAATAGTTTGATCGTCTGTCTTGTGATTATCTCACCATTCTATTCTGTATTTGTTTTGTTTACTGTGATAGAGATGATACCTTAGACTAGATTGAAAAAGTTCATCTTTGTCTGTGAAACTCTTTCGAGTTAATGATTACATCAGTTTTTAGCATTTTTTTTATCTTCTTGTTTGCACTAAAATATTTCATCATTTCGTTTTCTGTAGACCTCCTTTGTTTGTAGTTTCACATATCATATATGTGTGTCTGTGTGTGTTTGTATATATATGCATACATTAACATGCTCGGCTGTTCTTTTTTTCCTTGTTTTATAGATTGGACAAATAGGCAAAAGAAACGATCAATGGAAAAATTCGTTCGAGTACTCCTTTTTTTTTGTTTGTGAATTTTCTTTGTTTTGTTTTAGATTTTTTTCGTAGATTTAGTAGAAGCCTGACGTAGAACTTTATACAGAAAAAAAAGAATAAACGTTTGATATTATACTCAGATAAGATTCTTAATAATTTCCATACAGAAAAATAGCTAGATACTCGTTGTTACCTTGAGAAGCATAAGTGCCACTAAATTGTCTGAGACGGAAGTAAAAAAATATGTTTATTTTAGATTTATGTTTTTCGATCAAATAAAAACCTTTTCTCTCATTTATGTTTTTTATGATATCAAAATTGAGCTAAGTTTTAAATTAATAGAGCGAATCTATTTTTTCTCTCTATCGGCTTAATAACTATATCCATTGAAAAGAATATTGTATCTTGCGCATTAGTCAATTTCTTTATCTTAGTCGACAGTTACAGATATATTGAGTAGTGCCGAAGGGAATCTAGTAAAGGTTTGTTTTTAAATGTAACGAAGATATAAAAAACGGATGAGATGTCTTTTTTGTTTTACAGCAAATAAGATATTAGAATAGTAAAGTTCTGTATTTACACTATTTGAACAAACGTTAGAGTATAAAGAATTCTTAATTAAAACCCTATAAATCAGCTCGCGAAGAATATTCTCAACCAAAAGATACGGATAAAACAAAGCAATCTTTATCGGAAATGATATCGTCGTTGATCCTATGAGTAAGCATAATTTTTTCTTATTTCTTTTACACACCAATACATATTATTATAAATAAATTTTAATCATACTATTTTGAGAGTGTTCTTAAAAGAATATTTCAAATATTTATCGACTCATCGTTAGCGTAACAAGATTGTAGCATTAAAATCATTTTCTTTAAATTTGTATTGAGCAGACTCGTAAGTCATTATAAGTATCAATGTATTTAGTAGAGACGGTTTGACTCTGGGATTCGTAACTCCATTGAAAAAAAAACTAAAAATAACATTGTAAAAAGGTAAAGAAGCAAATCTATGAACAAGAACACTTTTGAATTAGAGTCTTATTAAATATTTTCGGATGACAACGTATATGAAGAAGTGAGAGACATAGCCAGTTCGTCATATCTTAGCAGAAACAAAAAAGAGTGCATGTGAACTGACAACAGTAAGAAAAAAACTAGCTACAACAAGACAGATGTTACGGTTAAAGGCCTTGAGACTTTCCCGGCCAACAGTCTAGTGCAAAACAGAATATTTTGATCTTTATTGAGAAAAGTAAGCAGGTGGCATAATGCATAAAATATTGCCAACAAAAGGTTTTTCTCTTTACAATCAAATATGAAATTATTTTTATTCTTATGTAAAAGAGAATACTTCTATTCTTTACAATTTTAGACCATGACGCAAAGACTTCTATGTCTTGTTTTTCTAACTTTAACAATTTTAATATGTAAAATATATTCGGCCGATCATGGACATTTTCATGATCATGGTCATTCTCATGATCATGGTCATTCTCATGATCATGGCCATGGCCATGGTCATGATCATGGACATGTACACGAACACGATCATGGAGATGAAGAGCCACCTTCATTTAAATACTCTCGAGAGGCCAATGCGCCTAATCATGGTCACTCTCACTCTCACAAGGAAGAAGCAGTAACTTATGCTCCGCCACATTACAATGAAGGCAGTGATGATGATGACGATGATGATGAGACGGTTGCACCATTTTCTGTTATGTCTTGGGCAATTCTTTCAACAATTGGAATCAGTTTAGCACCTGTTGTTATACTCTTTTTTATTCCTGTTAGCAATACTCCACAACATCAATCACGTTTAAAAATTCTTTTAAGTTTTGGATCTGGTGGTTTATTGGGTGATGCATTTCTTCATTTAATTCCTCATGCAATGTCATCGTATGGCAGTGATCAAAGTAGTGGACATGGACATTCTCATTCTCACGAACATAATCACTCAGCAGATATACAGGTTGGCTTATATATTCTTTTCGGAATATTTCTTTTTCTTATCACTGAGAAAATCGTGCGACATTTTAAAGGTAAAAATATTTTCTTCATTAAGTTTTTATCAACGGGTAGGTTTTTAAGGTCATGGGCATTCTCATACTCATTCGCACGCACAAGTTGCAACTGTTATAGAAGAAGATCAAAATCAAGGCGATGACGACTACGACAATGATAAAAAAAAAGAAAAGAAATCGCCTAAAACATCAAAAACAAAGACAAAACCTGGTTTGATTGTATTTAAAAAAATCTTTTGTTTTGTCTGAATTATTTTTTAGTAGAAGTTGTACCACAGAGTAATATGAAAATATCTGGCTATTTAAATTTGTTTGCTGATGCTCTTCACAATTTTACTGATGGTTTAGCTATTGGTTCATCATATTCTATGGGACGAAAACTTGGTAAGAATAAAAACAATCATAGAAAACTATAAGTGTAGTCTCTGGTGGAGCTAAAATGTGGAATTCACCATTTCTCGTCTAGGGTATGATTTTTTTCGTGGGTGATGTTCAATAGTATTAGTCTGTAGTAAATAGTTTGCTAACTAAATGGTTAGAATTTTTCATAGTAGAGTATATTAGTGAATACACATTAATATTAATATTGCTATTATATATTAAATATTACACAAAATTAAAAATCATTTGATTTAAACTTCTATTTGCTCTTTTTTTTTGAAAAATAATATTCGTGAGTTCCACAGAAAAAAAAACATACTCATGCTGTTTCATTTAGGTTCCATAACAACACTTGCAATTTTTCTTCATGAAATTCCCCATGAAATTGGCGATTATGCCATTTTAATTCAGAATGGATGTAGCCGAAAAAAAGTTTGTATTATATATTCTGTTTGTTTATTCTTTAAACGTCAACGGATATTTATCGATTAGGCAATGCTTTTACAATTAACAACAGCAGTTGGTGCTTTACTCGGTTGTTTAATTGGTCTTTTATTTCATTCAGCTGGAACACAATTATGGGCAACACAAACATTTCTTCCAGTAACAGCTGGTGGTTTCATTTATATAGCAACGGTTAGTGTTATACCGGAATTATTAGAAACAAATAGTGGATTAAAACAATCACTTTTGGAAATGATTGCTTTAATCGTTGGTGTTGGTGTTATGGTTTTAGTGGCAATCTTTGAGTGAAATCCTTACCAAGAAAAACATCGAATATGCAATTTTTCTTCGTTTATTGTTACTTTATTCATATTTATTTAAGGTTTACCAAATAAAATTGAGTATCATATTTAGAGAATAATCTAGGAATATAAATAATTGGTGTGGTTAATGTTTTAAGTATTCTTTTTTTTTTATCTAGAACGTTTTCTTGCACTTTCTGAAAAATACGGAATATTTTCATGCGTCGGTTTTCTAATGTATAGTTTTTCTTTTATTAGAAACCTTTTGAGAGAAGAACGATTTATCGCGGATGAACGGCGATCAATGATAACTTTTCATAAATCATCGTTCTCATCTTGAGCGTCAATGTGAATGTGCGTATTTTAGTTGTTGTAGTGATGAATGAAATTTCAGAATAGCCGACGCTCAATTTCGAAATGAGCATGTTAAAGAACGACTCCCAAATAACTCTCATCTAAAAATGTCTTATCATACTCCAGCTCAATTCGAACCCTGGCGAAATATCATAACCCTTTAGTTATCTATGAGATATTGTATGCTGTCTTAAGAAACCTTTGTTTCATTTTGAAAATACTCTAACTAAACTTATCTTATTCTGACACAATACCCTACGATACTTACTATGTTGATTTAGCTTCATTCAATTTTATCTTAATTTAGATTTATACGATCATAATTCTGCCAAACTGAAATGACCAGTAGCTGAATGATATGCAATTTTGTTGTCACAGATATATTCCTTATTATGATGCAGGTGTTTGAAAATATTTTCATCAGAGATTCTTAGCAAATACTATAGAGTTTCATAAGATTCCTAAACTACTCGATAAAAATCTATTGATATGTGCCTAGAGAAGATTTCGAAGATTTACACATGCGTAAGTTGAGAAAATAAAATTTACTTTTCAATGATCAAATATTCATCGAGGTATTTTATTTAGTATAGAAGTCTATGCAATGTCACCATTGAGAAGATCTATTTCGACCTGTTTGAATTTTTACTAAGGATACATACCAGATCGAGATTCTTTAGTACAGATCTTTATCTATAAAAAATTCTTTCAGAAATTCTTCGTGTGAATTCGAACGGAAAATATTTTTTGAGCGTTTAATACTAGTCATGTACATTTCTAATTGTATCACGAATGATCTATTTACGTTTCGTAAAATGCATATTCACTTTCGTTTAGTATTGATTTAACTTTTTAGAAGAAAAACTCAAGATGAAACACGCGATTTCATATTTTTAATTCTTCGTTCTGTATGAAAGTATTACTTTGTCGATGATTATTTGTTTTTCGTTGATATTCTGTTCATTTTTCTTTTAAGTTGCTTAAATTATAAAAACCTTGAGAGAGAAAAGAACATTAGAAATTTATTTACTTTGAAAAAAGAATGAAAAGCAAACAATGCGTTTCTGCCTAAAATTTATCTTCTGCATTCCATGTTTCGATATCGCCAATTTATTCGTTTATTAGGTCTAATTTTAATATCTTATTTTGTTTATTTTCCTATATTTCATTCATCTTTAAAGCAAAATGAAATTAAATCGAAATCTATTGATTATTGTCTCAAGAAAAAGGTAAATTCAAATGAAAAATTCTATTCGAATTTAGTTTATATTCCAAGATTAAATATTCTTTATTGTAATATTCCAAAAGTCGCATCAACGAATCTTCGACGTCTTATTTATATATATTTGAATCAATCAAATTCATTACTAAATCTAGATAGAAAAAAAATTTGGATCGATAATAAAAATTTCTTTAATCAATATTATTTAACTGAAAACTCTCAAATTTTATTTAAAAATAAAAACTTATTCAAATTTATCCTCGTTCGTCATCCATTTCGACGTATATATTCAGTTTATTATGATAAATTTGTTAACAATCATATTGATGATACATTGTTTGGTTGGAAACAACTTGAAGAAGATATTTTATTACAAATGAAAAGAAATGAAACATTATTAACAATAAGAAGACATGATATTCGATTAGATTTTCGTACATTTCTTTTATATATTATTGATTCTATACGAAAAAAACGCTTAATTAATAGTCATTGGGAACAAATAGTTCAACGTTGTGCTCTTTGTTTAATTGGTTATGATTGGATTGGAAAAATCGAAAATTTTGATCAAGACGGAAAATTTTTAATGAAAAAGTTAAATGATAATTCAGATAAAATTTATTTAGAATTTCCATCAAAAGAATTAGATAAACAAGAAAAAAGACAAAATCTATTAAATGATTCTGATTTATTTGAATTTTTTCGAAAAACTATTGAAAATAACAATGAGTTTGAAATTTTAATCGATTATTATAAACCAGATTTTGAAATGTTTGATTATTCTTTGCCGAACTCATAAAGTTGATTTCTCTGCAAAGTACAAAAGCATTTTCAATTTAATATGTTATTTTTTTTATCAATATGGATCATAGAATTAACATCATATTTTTGTTCTAATTTTCATTTTTTAACATACTCAATGTACTGTAGATAAATTTAATTCTAATATAATTTCTTTTTTGTTGTTATTCATTTATACAATAATTCATTGTCATCTATTGAAGCTATTATCTTCAACTTTTTAAAAACTGATCAGAGCAACTCATACGGAAAATTATCGATTATTTATTAAATATAATCATCACACATTCAACATAAATAAATTCATGTGACATGAATATCTGAAACTTTCGATATTCATCTGAATTTTTATTCTTATTAACAATAACGTATTTTTAGAAAATAATGATTTATTTCAATTATTTAGAAATGAAAAGTAATATTATACATCTCGAAAAGTTCTTATCATTAGACATAGTAGGATTCAATTCAAAAACCACTTCTAATAAAGTAGTTTACGTTGAGTACACTAAACTCTCAAGTTAACATTCAGGTACATTTTTTCACGAAAGCTATTTCTTTACCAAAAACGAGTATTTCTTTCATTATAAAATAATATGTTTGTGCAAGAATGCTTTTCTCTCATGACTTTTTTTTATTTATAACAACAATTTACTTTAACTTAAATACTAACTTCAAAGTAAAGTTCACTCATCAGTCATACTCATCAACAAAACAAATCATCATTCATAATATCACAATTTAAAAGCTATCTTTTTTTGTTCTATCTGATTTTGAATCACACGTAGAGACTAGATTAACAACAGAAAAAGAACACTATCAAAACGCAAACTTAGAAAACTAGATGTGGATTGAAGTAGATATATGCATTAGGAGTAGATTAATGCTTAGATCTGTTCCTATTGAATGTCCTTGAGATCAATCTAAATTGATTATCAGTTCATTGTTATTGTTAAACTTCGTCTTACTCAATAATTTTAGAAAGAGATCGACAATATCTGATGAAATAAATTAATCACAGATTGAAAAGTTACAATACTCATATCCTGCAACCTACAGGCCTTAATTTTCATAAAGAATATATTTAGTTATTCTCTGACGAGAAATCATTACATAAGCATAATTCTCAAACATACTAATAAAAAAATAAAAATTTTGTTCAAGAATAATTGAATATATCGTTTTTAAATGGCTTACCTCAATTTCTGATCATACAAAACTACTGATGAATTGCGCTGCACAAAAACATTTTCTGATATATTCATCTTTCGCTTATACATTGCAGAACGCAAGGAAAAAAGGAACGATTGAATGCATTCTATCGGATTTTCTTTCGCAACATTAAGAATGAACTTTTTAAACAATTCTATCCGATTGGTAGGTCATTCTGATGATCAGGTCATGTAATAATATTTCTTGAACAAAAAAAATCAACAATTAATATTTTACGAGCTAGATTTTAAATTCATTTCAATTTTAACATAAACAAAAAATAACACATGTAATATAGATTCAATGAAAAACAATGCCCAACGGTATATCTTTCTATTGTAGAAATAGCAAATCATTAAATTGTTAAATAAAACACTAACTTTCGATATTTCACCATTTTATTTAGCTTCATAAATCCACGAATATCTCACTGGAAAGATGTTTTTTCTATATAACAATCATTATTAGTTAATCTCGAGTTTCATACGCATACTACTGTGATAGAAATTATTTGATACTAGGTCATTTACTCAACATCAAAGTTTTCGTCAATTATTCGTTCTAAATATTTCATCTTTCATTTGAATATTTAAAATTCAATAATTAAAATTCAATAGCTACTCTTTTCGTCTTGTTTTCAAATTTAAAATAGAAGGATACTTGACAAAATTGTGCGTGGAACGTTTGCTTCTGATTTGTTTGATAGCACGAACAACTAAAATCTGCTATAAAGAAAAAGTGTAAAAAAAAACACATTCAAGTATACAAACATAGATTTAATCTAGTATTATTCTGCATAAAAAAAATCATTTTTATGATCGGGCTATTCAAAAATAACTTTCAAAGTCATTTTTAAAGATAAAATAAATGTTTCCAACTAGTCGATACGTAGACGCGTATGATAAAATATGTTCGTCTCATAAACATGAAAGGTTCTTTTGAGAATATTATTCTAACGATCTGTATTAATTTTATAGAGCAATCTTATCATGAATATGCTTGAAAACAAATGGTTTATAAATCTTGACAAAATAAATATTTTTTTTTAATATTTTCCAAAAGAAAATTTTCTTAAAAATCCATGTTGTTCGTTCTCATTCACATTCTTTCGAAAAAATTGTTTGGTTTTATATTTTGAATGCATTCAAATTTCATATGAGATGAAAGAGGAAAATTTTCTCTATCATTTGATATGTTAGTCGTAATATTTCGTAAAACTTTTCCAATAAAATTTTCCAAATTATTCAGAAAATCTCCTCGATTCATTCATGTTTTTTCAACTTTTATCTATGAAAACTTTATTAAAGCAATAAAAACTTCTAAACCTTTTTATATGAACTTATAGAGAAATTAGTTTTCTATGAACTGGCATAAAGTACAGAATAAATTTCGACAAAAAATCTGGTAAAAACCTTGAATAATTCATATGGAATCGAATATATTTGAAAAGAAAAAATATTTTAATCGTCGTCGAGAACATCGCCGAGGCGAACGAAAGGAAAGAGAAAAGAATCAACACAAAGACACGACCCAAGTGAGAGTCGATATCATCGATGTATAAATAATCGTGCACAACCACCAATAACTTCATATAACAACAAGCGCAAATCAAAGCGTACAGGTAAGATTATAATATTTATTAAACGATTATCCTCATTAAACATTAATTCTTCTATTGTATAGAGTTCATCTCTTACTTCTCATTTACACAAATCAATTATCTTTATTAACCCAACAGTTCTCATCAGGTAAATAAATATTGGACAATGTCATGAATTACAATTGAAAATTTTCATTATTTTAAATAGAACTTATCATCAAAAATGACCGAAGGTACAGCCGCTCAAGTTTCATCAGTTCAAACTGCTAACAATACAAATGCATCACCAAAAAAAGCAAAGAAAACAACATCAACAAAAGGCAAATCAACACACACTGCCACACATCCAAAATATTCCGAAATGATCAAAGCTGCATTAAAAGCTTTAAACGATCGTGGTGGTAGTTCACGTGCTGCCATTCTTAAATTTGTTTTGGCTAATTATTCACTTGACCCTGCTCAAGCTAATCAACATCTTAAATTAGCTCTTAAAAATGGTGTTAAAGCTAAATACTTTAAACAAACCAAAGGTAATGGTGCAAGTGGTTCATTTAAATTAGCCGCCAAAACAGAAACAAAACCAGCAAAAAAAGCAGCTAAACCAAAGAAAACAACAAAATCAACAACAAGCACAGCTGCATCTGCAACCAAGAAACGTGCTCGTTCAAAATCAGCTGGAACAAAACCAGCCAAAAAGGTCGCCACTGCTGCTGATTCAACCAATGCAACTGCTGCAGCAACAACAACAGCTAAACCAAAGAAAGTTAAAGTTGTTAAATCACGATCAAGTGCAACAGCAAAATCAGATAATGCTGCTAAAGTCGCTAAACCAAAACAAAGTAATTAAAATATATGAATCATAAGAATTGATGTTAAATCATCTGTTCTGTTTCATTTTAGCAAAAGCAAAAAAGCCAACTGGAACAAAAACAGCTGGTGTTAAAAAGGCTACAACAAAAAAAGTAGTGAAACCAAAAGTTAAAAAGGCAACTACACCAAAAAAACCAAAATCACCTGCCGCAAAAAAACCAGCAGCTGCCAAGAAAGCCGCCAAACCAAAAACAGCAGCCAAAAAAGCTTCATCACCAAAGAAAGCCAAATAAATAATTCAAATCAATGAATTAAAAACAAAAAACATTTATTTCATGTAGTTCGTAGTTGTCTGATATTTTCTATATGTTATTATCAATGATATTCATTGACATAAAAGAATTATTTTGCGACCATAGATATGTGTGGTGTGTGTGTGTGTGTGTTTACTGTTATACTCTTGTATAAAAAAAAATAAAAGATATGTGTGGTGAGTGAGATAAACAAAGATGAGTAGTTTAGAGGATTCGTTTTTTTCGAAATAAATAAACATTTAAACTTTAAAACAATCTATGTTTTGTTTTGTGAAAATCATGACATAAAATGAATCATGATCCATATCTTCTATTGGGCTAGTCCGGCAAGAAACAAATAAACGAATAGATTTTTTACGCAAATTTTAACGTAAGTAAATGGGATGCACAGAATAGAAAATTTATTCTTCGTTTGACTATGAATCTACCGAGAGTTAAATATTCGTCGCTTACGATTCGTGCTTAAATAAACAATCAGTTTTCATGATTTTTGATAATAAAGTTCATCAAACTCTGATATCAAGGAAAAGAACATTATTGCTGTCATACGCTTTGATTATATCTAAGAAATAGTTCTCTAAGTGTTGTATATTCACCATGAAACAGGTTGATCTTTTACGATATATTCAATTTACATTTAAATCCATTCAACTTGTGAGTTTTACATTGTAGGGTATCCAACATATAGGTAATGTAAAATGTTACAAGTGTCTTTTGAATCAGTTTTGTCAATAATTTAGAATAAAAATTGTGATTCGAAAGAAGTTTACTACTAGAGTTTGATTAAGTAGAATACAAAAATAATATTCTCTTCAACTTTTCTATCAGCCAATTCAAACGACAGGATAGCCGAGCGATATTTTTTGGAAAGATGCTTCGACGAATTCTATATTATTTGCTACTGTAAGAAATGATTAAATCAAAGTCTAGTCTACAATTACGCTTGACGTTAGGTTCATAAATATACCATACGGTAAATACAAACCTATAAGATGTGTGAAATATATAGTAAAGAATATTATTCGTGGAGATCAAAAAATTGTTAGATTTAGTCAACAATCTATTTGTAATTGAATGTTTTCATAGAGTTTATATTAGTTCATGTCAAGTAATAACAGTGACAAAGGAGACTTTTGTTAATGAGTTACTATTTAGCATTGTTTTGTAATTCTTAGAAATATAAACAACGAAAGAAGTTTCTTACTATTTTTGAAGTAAACCAAATGAATGTTTGACAAAGTCTTGGAATTAAACTAGTAGCTTTCAGTTATCGTTTGTCAGTAAGCTCATTCGAGTGAATTCAACCTGCGATGTATATCTCCTTTTTTCACGTTGGGATATGTCTGAGTAAGTCACAATATGCGAAAACGAGTTTCCATAGAAAAGCGGATCAAATATCATTTCTGTCGATCGTACGAGAAAGCCTATATTTCGTCTGAAACTAAATGTGGCTGATGTAACTAAAGAAAAAGCATTTTCAAAGATCGAACTCTAGTATTTGAATCTGAAACTTTGCCTATAGACTTGACTATATGTTAATAGAGTCTTCTAAAAACTTTCGCTCCATGAATTCGTACAATCATCAGCTATTGAAATTTCTAAAATCTGAAAATTCAATCATTTCGCGTGAAATGTAGATCAGTTTTTGAACTTGAACATTTCATTAATCTCAAATGACTTGGAGCTAAAATTTTCAGAAGAATCTACCTAACCTTACATATAAACGATTCTATGAACAAAATCTCAGATTAATAAACTAGAGTTCGATTTTGTGGTATGTGCTCCTATATGTCAACAAAATACCAATAGAGTTAAGCAGAGAAGCTAAGGAGACTTAGTTTTTTTAATTTGTCATACCACCGGATTTTTGGGTTTGCGATTTTCTTCGAAACTACATTTATGTTTCATTAAACAAAAGCTTGCTGTATGACTAAAATATAATTAAAGGTATTCTTCATTTATACTCAAAGCACTTTTGACTGCTCAATATGTAACGGCACCATCAACCTAATTAGAGTGAAGAATATGACAAAAAAATTTCTTAGAAATCAACTGTGCCCTGAAGTCGTCTTTTAGAAAAGCAGTAAGATTTCTATTATATTTTATGCATTCATTCTTAGGCGTTAAAATGGATATGATGGCATCATCTATCAAACATAAAAACTAATCAACATTCATGATACTAGGATGCTGGCGAAGCATACATGTAGTGATAAGTAGAATTATTCACACATATTTTTCAGCTATTGTTCAATTTCACATATGAATATCAACATCAGAAACTAGAAATTAAAAAATATTGTTGTATAATGTTTCTAGTTAGACGTAGAAATTAGGCTAAATTTTAAATACTTCTCGAAAAAAATCTCAGTATTGAACATTATTTTCTAAGATTGCTCCAATAAATAAAAATTCTATGTATTCAAATATCATTTTAAAACTAATTTCTCATTAAGTTAAATGAAATCGCGAAGATAAACTACAAACTTTTAGAAAGGAACTTTGAGATATACAGTAGGCTGCGAAACTTGTTTTAGGGATGCATTTATTGCAAATATTAGTTTTTCATCTAAATATAGTTTATATTCGTCTTCTACGTATATAAGTTATACGAAATATTGAAAAAAGATTAGAAATACTCACAATATAACAATATGATAATCATTATTCACAGTTTCACTAGCATTTTTATTAAAAATCATGTACACTTTGCAAGCTAAGCTATTCAAATTTGTTCTTTTTACTGATCTGATCGAATTCAAATGTTGAGAAATATAATAATGAATGACTCAATAACTTAGCAGAATAACGATGTTATATTGATACTGTGGACGTTTTCATATACGTTGACGAATATATTTCGTCTAGTACTATCAATTTGTTCTGTACTTATTATCATTACTCAATCTATTCTGTTTCAACCGATTTGTTGCCACAGTCAATTGCTAAAAACTTTTGCATTTGATAAGTCGTCACGTTTTAAGTCAACAAATTTTTCTCAGCATGTCAACAACATTTTGAATCAGAATAAAACAAGTTAAGATCATAGAAGTCTGACAAATCTACATCTGAAAATTATTTTTCGAAAATCGATAACACTTAGAAGATCTCAATAGGAAGAACATAATTATAAGATAATTGGCAGCTGATAATTTTGCAATATATTGGTTTAATATTCACTATTAAGAGGACTAATCAGATCTTATTTCAGATATTAAATGCATGTTTACTTTACTACAGTCTCTCGTTCGTTGAAGTTATTGAGAAAAAAATATTAAATTTTTAGCAAAATTTTAACATGATGGATACTAATCTGATCAATATCATGATATCAGGAAAATATTTAAATAAAATTAATTTTATAATCTGAGCGATACAGTAAGGCATCTTGAAACTATTTGATTTTAGTTTCATCTAATTTATTTATTTAATAATGAACTAGAAACTTTTCTTCAGCAGTATCAGCTTTTTGTAGAATATTAGCGTAAAGTTGATGAAATTCAGTTGGTTATACATTCTACACGACGTTGAAATCATTGATTTAAATTTGATGGAGTATCATTTATCCAGTATTTATTATCTTAGTTGTTCTTTTTTTCTATAAGTCGTGAAAGAAATAATTTGATAGAATTAGGTTAAATATTTTAGAATGTTCAATATTTATTGGCTTTATACTAAAACAAAGATGAACTTATTAAAAAGAACACCAATACAGATACAATAATTTTTGATGTTTATACCCCTTGTATGCGTGCTGTCAGTCACGTTCTTTCTGTGAATATTGCATAAACGGTAGGATAGTTACTTGTGTACAATTTTAAAAAAACGAAACTACATATTGAAGTTTATCTTATTGGCATATAAATCAAGTTAATAATAAATACTAAAAGAAAGATAACAGAAAGTTTTATTTATGAGTAAACGAGTTGAGGTAAGTTGAATTCATTATGCAATAACAGTCCATACTTTAGAAAAGATGACCATAATCGTAAATTGAGTAGCTGTTTTTACCAATGCTCAGAATATGCTACATGCAATAATTGACTCCAAAGATACAGAGTGTCAATATTGTCAGAGAATAAGGTAAATTGTTTTTTATATATCCTTTGCATTTTCTTTTTGAGAATGCATCTTATAATGTCGTGGCATTAGTTCCTCACTTTCCAATATTAGAGTCCTCTATCGACTCTTGAATTTAGTGGATGGTCTCTTAAATGCGACTAGTTTGCGTTTTCTACCTGAAATGATTCATAATGCATTCGTCCTTGTGATGTCTCTCTAGTTTACACCTGCTTGAAATCAAATACATAAATTTCTCTGTTCTGCAGTATGTATTTATATTGTAATCTGCCTTTTCAATCACAATATAGTATACATAGTTCGTTTTTTACTTATTCTTCATTGATAATTACACTTGAATATTTCAGAGTAAAGTACGAATGGCAAACCGAGATAAGAACGAAGAGAGAAGTTCACAAGAAGATAAAATTCATAGTGTGTTGTATATTCATAGACTTAAATGACCTCAAAATGGATATATCTATTTATCTAATATATCTCAACATAAAAATGAACGCAAGAAATTTTTTTCTGTCAAAAAAATTCATTAGTCGCAAAATTATCTAAGAGTTATGAAGTATCCTTGAAAAATCCAGCAATCTAAAGGAACAAAAAAGAAAAAAGAAAGAAGAAAGCAAACTCAAATGATATGGTTTTATTACTCCAATATCTAAATATATTTTTCATTTCTTTTTAGATAAAATGTGAACTTTCTCTCCATGGCATTATCAAATAACAAAGATTATTCAACAATTAATGAAAATTTCATTTTATTTAAAGCTTGTGAACAGGGCGATTTACAAACATTAGAAAATTCTCTAAATTCTTTATCATCATCAGATATAAAATTAATACGTGATGAACAACAAGCAACACTTGTTCATTATGCTGCACGATATGGACATTTGAGTATACTTGAATATTTAATAAACAATAAAAATTTAGATATTAGTCAATTACGTACAGAACATGGTGCAACATGTGCTCATGATGCTGCTGTTTGTGATCAAGTTGAAACACTGAATTACATATTTCATTATCATCAATTAAATAATCATAATAGACCAGATCCATTTCAAAAACTTCGTTGGACTGTTCGAGATGAACAAGGAAATACACCATTACATCTTGGTACAAAAAAATGATCCATTGTTACTTAAAACTAGTTTTTGTTGTTGAATTTTAGCGGCTGCTTATGGTTCAATGAGAAGTCTTCATTATTTAATTGAGCGTGAATCAGCTGATCCACATATACGATCGTATAATGGATTTCAACCAATTCATTATGCTGCTTCATCTGGTCATGCTAGTTGTGTGAAATTATTATTATCTATTGCACCAGATACAGTTAATGAACAAACGAATACGTTATTAACACCTATTTATCTCGCTTGTCAATATGGATCAAACGATACAATTAAAATATTATCTTCATGTGGAGCTAATTTTAACTTAAGAGATGAAAATGGTTTGAATTGTTTACATGCTGGTTAGTAATGAATAATTTTGTTTTATTCTTATTAAAAAAACAAAGAAACTTTTGTTTTTAAAAACATTTTTAGCTTGTCAAAGTTCACATCTTCATGTAGTTCAATGGCTGGTAAGAACAAATAGAAAATTCATAGAGAAAGATCATTCTAGACTGTTGTATGATAAATTAACCGAGAATCATCAATAAAAATGGGCTCAAGAATATCTTGATTGCACTGTAAATAAATCATAAATTTTGCAGAGAATCTTTCAGATGAAGTCTTATAGTGTGTTCTGTGTTTTCTTCAAGACAGAATCCATAAATATGCCAGTTTAATTACCTTCATAGAATGAAAAGCTTTTTATATTATTAAACGAGCTATGTATGTTGTTGTGATATTTCTTTTTTTATAGGTTGACACACAAAATGCTAATGTCGATGATGTCGATTATATGAATAATACTCCACTTCATTATGCAGCCGCAGTTGGTAACGAAGCTATTTTAACATATTTATTAGAAAAAAATGCTCAGCTTATAACATCGAGTAATGGCAACACTGCATTACATGTGGTTAGTAGAAATTATTTTTCTGTTTATTAGAAGAAGAAGAAAACCCTTTTTCGTTATGTTTACAAGACTGAGCTATAAAAGCAATTAAGTTTTGCTTTCAAAAATCAAATCTTTGTCGTCAGTTTTTCGATTTATAAATATCAAAAGAATTTTAGTGAATCAATTATTCGGTTCAGTTTTGTATGTTTCTTTAGAATGTGCATTTCTTTTAAACACTACAAAACAGAATTTATACACGTTTGAAATGCACTAATCACTAGAGCTTGCTTACGGCAGTACATTTTTAATACTGGAAAGAAAATAGCACGGAAACTAAGTGGAATTATTCATCAAGTCAAAATAAAACAGTATGCTAGAGAATAATTTAGTTTCTTGATAAATATAATTTATTGAAGAAAAATTTTCACCAGTAAAACTTATCAACAAATGATTTTCAAACACTCGGATCGGTTACGCTTTTTTATTCACATAGTTATAACTATTTTTTTTCAGTAATATTCATGTGATATGATTCAATTAATGATCCATTCAGATTTTCGAATGTATGACGCATGTCATGGAACTGTATACACACTCTACGTCTGTGTATTGATAAAATTAATTTGTAAAATACTCAAATAATCAAAATTTTTGATCATAACCAGTTGCAAATGTAATTGAATTAAGATATAGCTGCTTGTTGCTGAATGAGATGAAGTTTTTCGGCTAAATAGATAAATTGAAATCTGTTTCAGTGTTTTTTCCGTCTTTTATAAAGTTTTGTCGATTATAAGTTTTTTTCTGGATTTCAAAATACGAGTTTTGCAATAGATGAATTAACCGAAATTCAGACCTATACAACCTAACGAAAAGATCTCTATGGATAAGACTGAATTTGACAAATCATTTTGGTGTTTGATGCTTATGACAATGTCAAGAGATGATTATTTATTTTCGGGCATACATCGGAAGTTTACAATTCTTCTATACTAAATTGTTAATTTTCAAGCTCCTATTTTTTTTACTATCTTTAACCGGAATGAATCTTTACAGTTAATGAAATGAAAAATAATTTGATTTTTTTCATATTTTCCTTGTGAAAAATGATTTTGAAAATATTTGTCATTGAAAATATTTTCATTAATAGACTCTCATAGTATTTAACAATGATATTTGACTTTAGGCTGCTGAAAATGGCCATCAAGCTGCATGTGCTATATTAATTGAACGTGGTTCTTGTTCAGTAACGTTACGTAATAGTTCTCAATTGACACCAGTTGATCTAGCAAATCAGTATGGCTTTCCAGCACTTGCTAATGAGCTTCGTCTTCACGAAACTTCGTTGCCATTTTATGAAAACTCTTCCCCAGTTAGTTCAAAAATTCAATTGGAAAACGCAACTATTATACGACTAGTTGTCAAAAAACGTAATGTTGAACGGTTTGATGCTGCAAATCAAGTTGATGAAAATGAATTAACAACGAATACAACGAATGAAATGAACTCTTCGGCAATGGATGGATCATTTTCATCAAAAAAATTAACAAATGAACGTTTTGATTTATCTGAACTCCGTGCTCGTGTTGAAAAACACGAAGCTAGTAGAATTAGTACAATGACAAATGGTGATGTTGTTTCTAATGTTCTTATGCATAGTATGGATTCTCTTAATCAACAAAATAAGAGTCGTCGACGTGCAAAAGTAGCATCGGAAAGATATGCACCATGGCTTAAAACGGGTAACATGACACCAGAGGCATTTGAACAAGAAATTCAGTGAGTAAAACAAAAATAATACTAAATAGTTTATATTCTTTTGTGTTTTAATATTTTTCTCTATTTTTCAAAGATAAAACGGAATGGTGCGTAAAAGGCTTTCGTTTTAGAAAAATCAGGATTTATTTTCATTTTATTATTTTGCATGACTAACATCATAGGGATATATAAGTATATGTATATATATATATATATATATAGACATTGAATAGATATCTAATGCTTGTTTTTACCGTTTACTTTCTAGTTTGGATTTTATTTGAAATACAGAAAGTTTTTATTTTAGAAAAATTGGATCGAATTTACGTAAAGTACGACGTGATAGTAAGAAAAAAGCAATTAGATTAGTTTTTAAATAATAGCTTGCGTTTAAAGGCTTATTGAAAATGGAAGAAACAGATTCAAATATTGACGTTGAACGATCACGACAGAGCCGACCACTCGGGCGTCCCGTAATCGCGCCAACAAGAAGTGAAGAATCATCATTGACTTCTGATGGTGAATATTCAAATAATCAAAATAGTAGAACGTCAAAAAGGCTTGAATCTGAAAGGGTAATTTGTATACTATGGTCAAAGGGATAAACAAATCGATTTGTTTTATAATTTTTTATGTTTAGAGTCCCAGCGTCGTCCCAGTTACTGAATCACATCAGTTTACAGCTTCATCTTCTACAATGACTTCACATTATGGCAAACCAGATTGGCAGCGTGCTCTAATTGAACGTCGTCGAACCGGAGCTGCGGAATAATATCATAATCTTGAACATTATAAGTGTTTTGTTTTCTTGTGCCTTCTATATTTCTAGTCGACAGAAATTTGTTGGGTAACTTTTTTTTTCGAATTTCGTATCTTCTTATATGGCTTCACGAAAAATATTTTAAGCAATTTTGTTTTCGCTTTAATAAATATTATATAAATAGAATCGTTTCGATCGGCTCCATTAAACTTAAGTTTTTCAATTCAAAACATTTGAGTCGGTAAATCGTTCTTGAAAACATTTGTAACATCACATACACCACAGAACCCGAGCAATGATTTTTGTGATTTTTTAAAATCGAAGATTTAATAGTTTGAACGGTTCATTAATTAATCCTTTTCTTAACTTCTTATGCATAGCGGTTCTAGATAGAAAACAAAAATCTAGAAACTAAGCGGAAATATTATTTTTTGGATAAAAAAACACAAATTTTTCTTTTTCTGCAACTTTTTGATCGACCTTCTGATCATTTATTTTTCAAAATTCAATATCGAGCGTAGACTCGAATGAGTCATGACTTTGCCAGTTCTAATAGTTTCAGTTAGTTTCATTTTTTAAAATCTTTATCTGACATAGTAAGTGAATTCTGTTGAAAATTTAAATAGTAGAAAACTTTGAGAAACATAGCTATCTTATTCAACTACGTATTTGATGTTGATCTAGATCGTAGCAATTAGATTATACGAAAGTTTAATTTTCATCACACAAAATTAAGGGACTAGAGGAGGATGAGAAGTTGTTTTATTTTCTGATCCGAATTTCAGATAAAATAATTTTCTCTATACTGAAAAAGGGTAGAAAGAAAATTGAGGCTCACAAATTATGCATGATATTACAACGAATCAAATTAGTTTAAGTATTTAGTTAAATGATCAACAGAGAAAAATGAACCTAGCTTACAAAAATGACTTGTAAATAATATGTAACTAGTATCGATTTAGCTCATTGTTACCAATTCGAATTTGCAACTAAATTGGGTTTAAGTGCATTATTAACGAGTGATGCATTAAAAAGAAACTAAAAATTGCGACACTATTTTTGACTTGTCTCCAATGAAATCGATACCAATGACTTTCATATAAATAAATACAAATAAAAAACTACAATGAATCATTCTAAGAATTTTATTTTATATCCATCAAGTTAAGCAGTTTCTTAAAGATGATATTACAAATAGATATTTATGTTAATCATGAGACGAAATTAGTATGTTTTTGCACACAGGGTAGGTATACCCACTAACCTACTGAAAATGATTTATAGCTGGCTAAATAACCGTACAGCGTATATTTACTATGGCCAAACAAAGTCAGAAGTTTTTCAAGTACAAGTCGGCCTTCCCCAAGGCAGTAATCTCAGTCCCTTTATATTCGTAGTATACCATAGCGATTTAGTAGCTTGTCTGGATGCCCACTCAAGCCATATCTTCGCTGACGATCTGAGCGTGCTCATTCGAGCACCCATCCAGAAATCCTTCTCATCCCTAGTCGAGTATTTAGAGGTTGAAGGAAGTAAAATATGCGATAAAATTGCTGAATATTCGATTCGCTGGAAACAGCCAATCAATATCGGAAAAACTATCGCACAACTCTTCTACTCACAAATTCGAAAGCCTACGGTAGACATATACATGCTAGGACAGAAAATCCCCATTGTAGATTCGTTCAAGTATCTTGGTTTTACTTGGACAAGTAAATTATCATTGAGACCCACTGTAAACAAAACCCTGGAGAATATCCAAAGATCGTTGGGTAAGCTCAAATGGCTGCGTAGCGGAAAAATTTTGTTCAAAGACACTTTGAGAAGATGCTTCTTCGCGTATATATTTCCCCATTTCGCTTGGATCTTTCCATTTTTCCCCTTTCTCCCAACAACACACCAAGAGGCACTTAGAAGAAAGTATAGAGTAGCAATACGCTTAGTCCACCGTGCCCCATTTGTTCGCGCTAAGGATCTTTTGAGTTTTACCCGAGAAGAATCGCTTGATACTTATGTCAAACGCTGTATCTCGAAAAGGTTAAAAAAAGATGTGTTCTTCAGATTTAGGTTCTTCCCTATTTCTTGAAGATGTATTCCTATGGGATAATTTCCATAAGCAAGCTAAAGATGGTGTTGGCCATCTATTTATGTTGAAACGGGTTAAACGTTTAAAGTTAAAACACCGCTCCCTTCTCCTAGACTGGCTTGATTTTAATGAACAAAGTGATAATTAGGAATATAGGAAAGAGGGAACACGAAATCCTAGTTATTAACAGCCACTTAACATTCTAACATTCTACCTCAACCTTTATAACTCCTGCTACTTGTATTCTCTGTTCATCTCGTTACCGCTTTCATTTGCTTTATGTGTCTTTATCTTTGTTTCTCCCTTTTTGTTTACTTTTCTTTTTTTGTTTCTTCTTTTTTCTTTTATTTGTTACTTCCTATCCCTCCCGTCCTTCCATGTTTCTCTGTTTTTGTAAGTACTTCCGAGTGTGACAATGAAAAGAGCATAAACCAAAAAAAATGCAACGAGCTTGAAAGTGCATCTACAAATTAATGTATGTCAATGCCAAAGTAAGCACCTATCAGCCACTTATTTCGTAGACGATGCCATAGCTCAATGGAACTTGTGAATTTATGTCAAGTATCTTTTATTGTTTTATTCATATAATACCAGGCAGTAAATTAGTTTTTTTTTGCACTCGTCAATGCCAACTATTACGTATTTTAAGCTATGGTTAAAATACTAATGCTTTAAAGAGATCATAATTAGGAGTATGAGGAATTGAGATCACATGAAAACTTGGAAACTAAAGGTAATTTCGAAAAAAAAATACAATTTGATTCTAGTTGGTGTACATATAATTAACAAAAAATCGTTCCCTTTATTTAAAAAACAAAAATATGTTGTTAATCTGCGTTTTTCTTTGGAAACTGCCAATGAGAAAATTTTAGAGTTGATTATTTCTTTTAATCTTGATCTTATTTATAAAAATAAGTTGCGAATGACTATTGAACAGGATTTCATTACACAAAAAATAATAAGCAACATTATTATCAAGAGAACAGTTTTTATTTGCTTGTGATGCAATCGACTGAAGTATTTTATACTTTAAAAAGAATCAATTTGTTGAAGCAGCCAAGACTATTAAAATAAAACATCATAACTGCATATATCCATAATTTTTATTGCATCTTAAGAGTATGCATGCGAGCGAGTACTTACTTCACGAATACCTACAGATGCATAAATTTGCATCGTATCCTTATGTTACAATTTATTTTTATTGAACTGGGAATTCAGATCATCCTTCAGTAGTTTTTGTACTACTCGTGCGCTTTATATTCATCTTTACAGTCAGTGTTCAAGGCAATATAAGTATTGGCGATATTGAGTCTATATTTCATTCTGTGAATTGCTCGAAGAGAATGGAATCTACTCAACAAAACTGATGGAAACGATCACACTGGGTATGAAAAATAATATTCAAATTGGTAGAATAATCTATTGTTTAACTTGACGTGACACTCGACATTGGTAAATAGATAGAAAATAAATAGATTTTAGTGCGTGCACCAAGAAACAGACCGACAAATAGTTGTCAGAGTAACCGCAATTCTCTGTGTTTACACAATTCTTAGTCACACTTAATTTTAATATATCTTTTTTTTTCGCTAATTCAACAAAGTACATCAATAAACTCATATAATTTAGATTTCGACATATTTGCATAGAAAGTTGCCATATTCTTTGTCATTGTTTGATCGCCATAATTGTTAAAATGTCATCTCCCTAGATTCTATGCATACAAGATGATTTTTTTTTCATAAGCAAAGTTAGTATCTTTCTTAAGTAACACATTTTATACTGAACTCATACAAAATCAGTTTTTTAAGATACTTTTTAGGTAGTACTAATGAATAGATTCTGGTAATATTATCAAACACAATGGAGTTAATGAATTGTTTTCGACTATAAACAGAGAGGAGCAATTATATTTAGGACATCAGTGATCTACAGTAGATAGAGGATATATTGCCTCAATTCTAGAATTTAAACATAAAATTTGTTCGATCAATGTGTGTATAAATTTGTAAGAAAATAGTGAATAATCTTCATTGATTTTTCATTTCAATACAAATAGAGATCATCTGTAAGTAGACTTTTTTTTTTGTTCTAATGCTAGATCTTTTGTTATTTTTAAATGCTTCAAAAACAAAACAGCGAGAAAACTTAGATCAATCTAAAATATTAACATTGAATCGATTCTAGTCTTGAATATCACTTTTATTATATGTACGTACATGCATTCGTTGCTCAAAGGAAGACAATTGATAGCTATCAAATTTTCCAAGAAAACAAATAAAAAGAATTACTGATATCTTAGATTTGAAATATGATTCATTGTTTGAATTACTTCTTCTCGTGGCTACAAAATTGTATCGTAAAAGAAAATAGAGGGTATTGCCTTTATCGAAATCAGTACAAGTGTGTGACCTTTTGTTTGATGAGAGCAAAAGAAAAGCAGTAAGAAGCCCAGGAATTACGTTATTAATAGTAACAAAAGGCAATCATCCCTCGATTAATAAACTTTAAAAAAAACAGGATATGACACTTGATTTTCTCAATATTTCATCGCAAATTATTATATCGTTTATTGCTCGCAAGTAACTGTTTTTATTAAAATTCGAATTATATACCAAGTAACAGCGCTGTCATCGTGTGTGACTCAATATCATTGCACAGTTAAACTGCGTGTCATTTTTCTTCCATATTAGTCATATACATTTGTGGCAGAACGATAAAAAAGAAAAGAAAGACTGCCAGTAACTATGTGAATCGGCAAAGGACTATTTTTTTTATATGATTCTTGATTCTTATAATAGACAAAATTATTATCCTTCCAAACATGTAATTATCTCTACACGTGATTCATTCTGCTTATATTTCGGCAAGAATTTTTTCTTCCCATCAACAGTTGTATATCTTGATCGATGGAAAAACAAGTCGAAGAAATCGTGTTACTTCCGACACAAAGTGAAACACAACGCCAAAGTGAAAACCAAACATTTCTCCGATTACAAACTAGTACCAAAGATTATGCATCAGATGAACAACATCAACATATAATTACAAGGTAAATCTATTAATATAGTTAAATGAAAGAAATCAATTATACTAGATTCCTTTGTTTTTTCTTTGAAAACATTTATTGCTTTTTGTTTGATTTAACTACTTGAGCTATTCGATTAATTCATATTTTAAATGATTGTATATTTTTCTAACATAAAAACGATGGAGTAATGGACATATTCTAAAAGGTAAACAATGAATAAATTCAAAGGAAAATTTTTCAATATCTTCTGATAAGTCTTTACATTTCGATCGTACACATCGATTGGTGATTAATCATGAATATGTGATTTAAATCAAATGAGAAAAAAAAGACGCTAGCAAACAATTGAAAATAATGCAGGATGGATGATTTCTTTTACTAAATATTTCACTTGGTCTTTTTGAAATGTTTTACCTTTTCATTGTCTATAAAAGCACTTAGTTTCATTTATTCAAATACTTGAAATAATGTGTTTGTAGCCCATAAAATATAAAAGACATATTCTCAGTTACGTCAAAGAAAATTATTTTTCTTCCTCAACTAACTCTATCGAATATTTGACTTGCACAGTTAAGATCTTTTGATTGAGAATAAATTTTAATCAGTTTGTAGAATCTACGAGTTTATCTCATGTATCATAGTCCCCCATGGTAAAGTTCAAAGCACAACAGTGACCTTCAAAGATGATGAATGACGAATAGAAAATTTAATATAAACATGACCAAAAAGCTAATTCATATTATTTATTTATATACTTCATTGACAACTCATTTGTGTTGATTTCTATTCGTTAAAATTTAATCAATCCGATCATTCGGCTTATATAATAAGTTGAAGAAGAAAAGATTCATTATTGTGCCAAGTATTTTGATATCTATCTATATGCATTTCCGTAGAGAGTTATAATAGATGAAAAAATAGATCGAGCTATTTAAAGAATACATTGACAATTGTTGCATTTGGTTTACGTATTCAAATAAAAATGAATAGTAGTGATTTGATTTTACAATTTTTTTAATTTTGTATTTTTTCTTATATTTGCCATAGGATTGAATTTTTTTTATGAATTTTCAATAGATTATATTTCTTTCTTTAGACTAATCAAACCAACTAATCTAGAAATTTTATACAAAAACCTTTTCCTATGGGTTTTTCTATTGGGTTGCGTTTTTCTCTTGGCTGCTCCAACCGCTTTACATTTTTCTTATGTTTTACCGGCGGCAAAACCACGTACAATACCTCTGAATGAATTTAGTGAAGAACGTGCTCGTGATCACTATCCTAATTTAACTGAACATGGCCCCAGAGTTATACATACACGTGCTGATTATCTTACACGTGCTTATCTTATTTCACAAATCTATCGGATTCAAAATCTGACTAGAAAATCAATTCGATTCGAAATAAGTTTACAAAATTTTTCTGTTATGGATATTAACGAATTACAAAATATAGTTGTTCGTGTTTCAAATCCAAACTCATCATATGATACGCCTTGTTTAATGTTGACTGCTCACTATGACTCAGGTATGCAATCGAAAAATATGAGACATAGTATATGTATTTTTTTAAAATTTATTTACAGTTGAATTTAGTCCCGGTGGTAGTGATGATGGTTCAGGTGTTGTTATCTTGCTTGAACTGCTTTCTAATCTAGTCAATGATCCAACAGTAACATTTACTGATGTTCATTTAATCGTTTTATTTACAAGTGCTGAAGAAATCTATTTATTTGGTGCCGAAAAATTCGTTACAAATCATCCATGGAAAGATAATGTGCGTCGATTTATTAATATTGATTCAACCGGTGGAAATGAAAAGGCAATTTTATTTCGAGCTATACCATCACAAGTAAAATATCAATCTTTCTTTCACCTTGAAATTAAATTCCTTATCTATCTTTTCATTCAAGCTTGTTAGGGATTATGGTAAAGTTAAGAGACCACATGCGAATGTCATGGGCGATGAAATCCTTGCATTATCAGGATCAGATACTGATTACAGTGTTTTTACTAGAAAAGGACTTTTATTAGGATATGATTTTGCCTATTATATTGATGGTTATAATTATCATACAATGATTGATAAACCATCGATTGTTGAAAGTGGTGCCTTACAACATTTAGGTGAAAATACACTAATGTTATCGCGTAATATTCTTCTTGGTCATGTGAATCTTCGACAACCGAAAACTATAATTGATGATGATAATGTAATCTATTTTGATATACTTGGTCTACATTTAGTTTCGTATACAATTTCAACATCAGTAATAATACAATCAATTCTTATTGGATTTGTTGTTCTCATAGGAATTCTAATGATTCTTATTGATCACATATGGTACAACGAAAATGCTAATACAAATGATTTTTCTTCAGTTTATTTTTATTTTAAATATCCATTAGTTATGCGAATTCTTTCAATAATACTATTTTTCATTTGCTATCTATTATCAATTCTTATTGGTATATTATTTGCTCTTGGCATTGCATTTATTATGTGGCATATTCGACCATTATCATGGTATGGTAATTCTACATTAGCATTTTTTCTCTATGGATTACCTTGTTTAATTGGTATTATTCTTTGTGAAGCATTATGGACATGTTTACGGCGATTTCTTTTATCAAAATATCCGAAGAGAAATCCAATGGAATTAAATACAATTAATCATATAAATCGATTATGCTTTAATTTTGAACGTCATTGGGCATTACTTCTTATTTTTGTCTGCTTCATGAGTATTTCTATATGCACTGGTATACGATCATTGTATATTATACTTTTATGGTCTATATTTATTTGTCCAATTTATTTATTATTAATTCTATGCGAATTCTATTGTCGTTGGATGAAAAAAAAAATTTTTACGATTTTCAATGAACAAGGCTGGTACTGGTTGTTTGCACCTTACATCATTTCATTAATACCATTAACGCATACACTTGAAATGACTAGTCGAATCGTTCGTCTAGCTATTCCAATTATGGGTAGAATGATGCATCCAATGCGAATACCACAAGATTTCATTATATGTGTGATTATTATAATTCCAGCTGTTCTATTTTTCCTGGTTTTTATTCCAAATATTCAACGCATGATGAACTACAGCCGAACATTAATTATTTTGATGATTAGTTTTTTTATTGTATTTCTTGTAGCATACACGAGACAAGCATTTACAAATACTCATCCCAAACTAATTCAAGTTCGACATACGTCACAAACAATTTATTCCATAAATAATTCAATGAAACCCCCCATGATGATTCCTGTTTATTCAAAAAAAGCATTCATTACAATTCAATCTTTTGATAATCTGGTTTTAACACCAACACTTGATGAAATTTCAAGTAAAACTGGTTATTTATTAAATAATATATTGTGTTCAACAACAACAAAATGTTCATTTGATGATACATCTAATCGTACAAAACCATTTCGAGAAGTTGAATTAACATCGATGGATAATTTCAATAATTATAGATTTACAATACGACATTCTTCATCGTATTTCATAGGTGTAACACCGTCAATGTTGACTACTATAACTGTACACAATTCAATGATAAAACCACGAACAGAAACGATTATAGATGCTCAAATAATTAAAGGAGCAGGATCTTTTGATCTTGAGCTTAAATTGGAACGATGTGACTTGAATGATTCTCCTTTTCTCGTATCTTTGACGGAAAAGCTGCCTCATATTGTACTATTAGGTGGTCCTCGTTGTCGAGCAATTACAGATGTTCTTATTCTTTCAGTTTATCGTTAATTTGTATAAATAAGAATTCATTTTCTTTCTCGTCTTTTTTCTTGCTACCAAATAAAATCGAAATTCTTTTTTATAATAAAAAAACAACCAAATGAACAAAAAGAGAAATAAAAATATTGTCAACTGTCTTTTTTCTTTTGTTATCATCGAGTTCAGTTTAACATTGTTTTAATGAGGAATATTGATTTATTTCATCATTAAATAAATCAATAAAATATTTATCAATAAGAAAATTTTTCAAACATCCACGATATCCTCGACAATGTTGCTCATCATGACCACATAAACGATGATATCCACCAACGTAAATATAAGTTGGATTCGGACGAAATGCAGTATTTTTACCCATTGTTGCAGCACGACGTGGCGTACTATCATCGAGTTTCATTGTAATACGACGACGAAATCTAAACGAAAAAAAAAACAGGAAATTTCTCTTTTTTTTCTATTTGATTCTTTTAAAAAATTAAACTAAAACCTTTCGATTTCAATTCGATGCCAATGACCATCGTCAATACGTGATTTGGATCGTAAAAATACTTCAGCCGAATTCAGATCTGTTTTAACTGTAAATTGTAGAAAACCATTAATAACAGTTAATGATAAATATTGAGAAAAGACATTCGTTGTTGTATCACCCATATAAAAAATTAAACCATAAGAATTTGTTGTTCGAAATAATAATTTAAAATAATTTCTATTTAAATTTACTGGTACATAGGAATAAACAAGATTTTGTTTTCCATCTAATTCAACTGATACATCTTTAATATTCGATAGTCTATATCGTGTATGACATGTATAGTTATTTAATTCTGTTTGTTGACAAATTTTATTTAATGTACAAGGATTTGGATGACATGGATAACCATGATATTCACTTATATTAAACAGTTCTATAGAATCTTGACGAATATCATCTAATAGTTGATTGTTAAGAATAATCTAAATAAAATAATACAAAAATATATAGATAAGATGCTTCTTTTGGTTTTTACTTTTTGTATTGCACCACGAAATCCTTCAACTATGATGGAATTCGATAAAATGTCAAATGAACGATATTGAATTGGTAGATTTCCAATAAATGTAAACGAACGAGGCCATAGAATATTTGTAGAAAATAATTCATATGTCACTACGGGAGATTCTTGATCAACTTCTAAAGTTAATTTTTGGCCATGAATTTCGATTGAACATCGGTGCCATATATTTAATTCGATCGGATATCGAGAACTAATGAAGCAAACAAATTATTGTTAATAGAAACTTTATTCCAAATAGATCAAATGTTTATCTTTTAAATTTATACGTATTTCAATGATAGAAAATTAAAAGTTCGATTAAAGGAAAATAACATTTGGATTATTTTGAAGCTTACTGCTAGCTTTATTGATTCAAAAGAAAAAAGACTTTATGTCTATATGTACTTTAGCAAAGCGTGTGACTGTGAAAGGAAACATGTGTTGTTGAGCCATCAACTCTTCCTAATTATTTATCTAATGAGGAAATTCGATTCGTAAATTTCATAGGAACAAATGTATGCATGTATTCTTGATTTAGAAATTACCTTAGTGAAATAGTTTTGCTTCCCATAATAATATTACATGTTACCATACGTCTTCGTATATAAACAGTGAAGTATCCTTTTTTAGAATTTACATGATCACTATATATCAATAGACCTAGAGAGAGAGAGAGAGAGAGAGAGAGAAAACAAAAAGTAGAAAATTTTCGTCGTTGACTAAAAGCAAACTTCTACCTGATGAACTTTCACTGAGAAACCATATTTCAATTGAAAATTTCCCCGTGTGTTCTAATGGTTCAAGTGGAGGCCTTTTTATATAACTATTAGTATCAAAGGCGGCTATATATGGATTATCTATTCAAAAAAAATTGTTTTTTTTGAAATATAAAAATAAATAAACTCTATAAACCTGCGGAACAATTTCTACAAATGCACGTGTAATTATTTGGATAGACATTAATGCACTGTTGATCATAATCACATGGTTTCAATGAACATCGATCAATCGATGATATTAAACAATCAGTATTCAATGAAGAACTATGATCATCACATATACATTTGTAGCTATTTGCATCATTGTTTCGTATCGGTATACAACGAGTTCCACTTCGACATGATGCAATACCTGATCGGCATGGATTTGCAATACATTCATCTAATAGATTAAGAAAAAATAAATTTTATATTATTAGCAAAAAAAAACCAAATAATCGAACCAATATTTTGAGCTGTAAGAATAATATGATGATCAGTACTATTGAATGTCAATCGTCGTTCATTTATTGATAATTCATGTATACATCCTTGAAAACCTTCATCAAGATGAAATTGTTGATAGAGACTAGATAACATAAAAGAAAAATGAATCGAATAGAAAATGAATCAATTAGAATTTCTTACGAATTTAAAGAATCTGGTAAGCCTCCTAAATATAATGTACTTTTGAACGAACTACCAAATGGTAATAATCCTTTCACGAGAAAAATAAATACAAAAAAATTAAAAAAATTAAAATTTACTTGATGAAATATTTCCATCATTTAATCTTGCACGTATTTCATTATGTAAGATATGAACTTGTAAACGAGAATATGTATCAAGTTCAATCTTATCTGGTAATTGCATTGTTGAAATAAAATGATCAAGCCGAACACTTTAGGAAGTACAAAAAGTTACAAGTGCTCCCAAAAAATAATTTATCATAAAACTCTTACGTTATATCAAGAATTTTATTTCTTATTGAAATAATAAAATAAAATTCTGTTAATTTATCATCAGAATAAAGTAGTAAACCATTATGATGTTCCGATGCGAATATAAGATCAATTCGTAATAGTTGATTATCGCTAGATTTTGTTGATAAGTAAGTTTTAAGTTCAAAGTAGGATTGACGATTAAAATGTGGAATTGTTACGTCAAATCCTTAAAGTCGAATGGTAACAATGAAATAGTTTCATTAATAAAGACGATGCTTAAATACTTTATAGTAGAAATTACAATTCTCAGATATTGCATAATAATTATGAACTGCAGTAAATTTCCACAATCCTTCGCTTCTCACGGTAAACAATCAATTTCTAGGCTCTGAACCATTATTCTTTGTTATGTCACTAGGAAGAACACTTAAAGAGTCGTGCATTTAAGTAGTAATGGAAAATTCTTTTTGAAGTTAAATTAGTCAAATATTTACATATTCCTACTCTTATGTATTAATCAGTTGAGACTACATATATTTAACAGTGAACAAGAATCCATTATCTTACGGATGTATACATAATCTTTATAGAAAATCTTGGCGTGAGAGAACTATATTTTGTTTTTGAAAGGAAAAAACCATATTAAATTTCTTACTTTCATTACAATGACGTCCTTGCCAACCAAAAGCACATAAGCATTTATAATTTCCATCTGGTCGATCGATACATGTAGCATGATTTTCACATGGTGTTCGACGGATACAAGCACCCATCGTTGTACGACGAACAGGATTTACTTAAAAACAAGGAGAACTCTTTCAACTATTTTTTCTTTTGTTGTTTTCAATTAGCTTACACGTATAGTTCGATGCCAAAAGATTCGAATGAGCTAAACATAAATATTTTTTATTCAACAATCATAACGTTAAAAACTATGCTATTCCCACAGACATACACTAAACAACAAGAAGATCAGCTTACGCGCCACACATCGTGGTCCAGGTATACGTTTATATTTTTGTTTTGCACATTCACAAAATTCCGACAAACAAACCATATTTTCTCCACAATCCGAATTGGTAACACATCGTTCTAATGAACATATATATATATATATATATTTGTATAATAAAAAAACGATCATTAATAGATATAAAAGTTATCCTACTTGAATCAGCTGTTATTACTGGCGATGGATAATCATATGCAATTTCTTCATCTTGTATTACAAAGTCTTCTTCGAATTGAGGATATTCTGTCGATGATCCATCTAGTCATGCAAAATCGAGTTAAATATTAAAAAACAATCTTCACTGTTCTACCTGCACAAACACCAGGATAAATTAAACCAATTTCATATTGTTTTAAACATCGTTGTCGTTTAATAGCACATTTTGATTTATAAGTTCGTCCATCTGACGCACATATATCCATTGGACGTTGCTCATCATTTGTGCATGTTACATGATGACATGTGCAACGAGGATGTTCATTCATTATTTGACAAACGCCTTCAAAAAGACATACTAAATCTCGGCATGTTCGTGGACGACGACGACCTGTATATACTGGAACGAGAAAAAAATATTTTTAAAAAACAAAACTAATTTAATTTTTTGATTACATACAATTAACACAGCCACGTTCAGTTAATTTCAAAGTTGAATCAATGCATTTATCACATTGACGACCTGTGGCAAATGACTGACAACTACATTCGCCAGTGTCTTGAACGCAATCTTTTCTCGTCGAGCCATATGGATGACAACCGCAAGCTAATAAAATTTACTGTTAAATTCAATTATTATTCTTTTTTTCGTCACTTACGAGTACATCCAGTATTGTTATGTGTTAATATACGAGAAAATCCCCAATATTCGTTTTCACAATGAGAACAATTCGGTCCACCAACAGCTGGTCGACAATAACAAGAATTTGTCATTGGATCGCACGACGTTTGTAATGAACCAGTTGAATGACAATTACAATATTCTTTAGTAAAACAAAATATTGCAAATTTCAAATCATTCGAAGATTTTTTTTTCTTATACCTGGACATCCACGTCGATCCACACTAGGTGAAATAGTAATATTATCATTACAACATCCATATGAAGAATCCGAACAAGTCGAACCAACGGATAAATAAGGAACAGCAACTAAAATTACCAAGTAAATAAAGATCAAGAAATGATCAGTTCTATTTTGTTACTAACTGCATTCTCGTTTCTTTCGTGCTGCTATATAATCTTGTCGAGCACATTCACAAAGACCACTTAAACAAACCATATTTTTACCACAATGCTCATCGGTTGAACACATTCGATAAGGTAATACAGCAGTGATTACTAGAAAATATTTAATTAACAAAAAATAAAATATTTGTTTTTTTTCTCCACGTCTTATATCGTTATTTACCTTTGACGCAACATCGATTTGTTTGTGCATTACAAAAACTATTCATTGGACAACGTCCAATAGTGTCACATTCAGTAGTACGACTTTGTACGATATCAAATAGCGGTTCATCGTAGCCACACTCGCGGGTATAATCTATGAGTAAAATCGATAGTAAATTACAATTTAAAAAAAAGGAAAGTTTTTCCTCTATACCAGGTTTATCGTTGTCTTTATTACAATAATGAGGTGCAATAGCATACAGATGAATTTGTAATTCACATGAACGAATATCCATTTCGCATTGACTAGCAAATAACTGTTGATTACTGGCACAAATCGAATACGACTCATCATACTAAATGAAACATTTATAAGTATTTGAAAAAGTGTCGATAATCAAAATGAAATCAACATCCGAAGAAGCAAAAATCTCACAGGATTAAAATAAAATTGAACTTTTAACTATTGTAAATCACTCCTTGGTATTGATCATTCATGCTAGTATGAATTCTTAATAAAGATCTCGTCAATCAGATATGCATTATTTTTCTATGATATCAATATCAAAATCGAATGAATGCTCTTCAAAAATTATCGATACAATTTTATCGTTTGATCTTAAAATCTTTCAGCTGTTCATTGTTGGCACAATAACGATGCATTAGATCCATAGATTCATATGATTAGAATAAAAAAAAGAATCTTACGGCCTATTCTATATAGAGAAAATCAGGCAATCAAGACTAAAGCTTACTGATAAGAAAATTTCGACAGATCAATATTACTCACAGATTGTTCAAAAGTGGATATTATGTTTTTTATAGTTAAAAAATATGCGATTTAAAAAACATAAAAGTTAGAGAAACTTGATCTCTGTCTGTCTGGCGCAGTTAATTGCTAATGTCATTTAAGATGAGAAAGAAAACATACTCGCACAGGTGAACAAGTATTTCTTGATGGACAAACACATGTGTAATTTCCTTGTTCAGATTGACATCGCCCATGAAATGGACACTTAACATTATGACAATTATTACATTGTCCCATGTGAATTGGTCTTATATCCAAATGTCTTGTGCAAGCATCATATTCAAGATGGCATTGTGATCTAAAACAACAATAAAAATCAATCGTAAGAAAAAGAACGAACACAGAAAGCAGCCAATGAATTCATTTTGACAACTTACGAATAACTTATCCCATTATTACCACAAACTATATCTTGATAAGAATAGATTGTTGAACATTGTTTACATTCACATTCGACTTGTTCATTATAGCGTTGTTTACATTGACCGTATGGACATCGAAGTGTATCACAAGTTTGAAAACCTAAATGTTTTATTTTTCGATTAATTATTTTCCTCAATATTTAACTATCTTTCCTATTCTATTTCTGTCTCAGACTTTGTTTTACAATCAAACATAAGAACTAATAATATTGACAATTAATCAAAGGCAAAAGAAAATATTGTCTGTTTGAGTCAATAGATATGTACGTAACTTACAATGTGAGCTATCAACTTGTACGATGTTTTCTTCGCGTGCACAATGGTCACGTTGCATTTCACATAAATTTCTATAGGACATACCATTTGATCCACAGATCTTTGAATATGAAAAGCAAAAAAAAACTGTGTTTTGTTCCCTTTACTTTGTTTGCTTTTACTTTATTTTCTTCTGATGAACAATTAAATATACATCGACATACGCCAATACCATCTTCAATCATACATGTCTTTCCATGAAAACAAATCAGAGCTTTACAGGCTAAAACGAAAAAGAAAATGTGCTACTTATTCTTAAATCATCGGGGAGTACTTGACGCTTCAGCGAAGGACAGCAAGACAGAAAGATAACGAAGCCAAAATAAATAAGAAAAACGAAGACTGATTGTCGAGAGACATCATTGTCAATTAATGCAGATTAGTTTAGGAAAATAAAAAAATTATTTTCTTTCTTTAGAACGAACTATACACAAAAGTATGAATACCCAGACAAACAGAAAATGATTGCCAAACATTTTAAATTGTCTCATTCAATTCTAGTACCTTCAGATTGTTGACGTTGTTCATGAAAATCACACGAACCATCGTGCAATTTTGTTAAATGTATATTTGATTGACATGCATATTTATTCATTTCACATTCATTTGAATATTCTTGAAGATTACTTGCACATAATGGATGATAATCGAATAAACATTGTATATGAGGATTACATTTGTTAGGATTTTTAGGGCAATCTGAATGATGGCAATCATCTATAGATAAATATTTTCTTTTTTTACTACCAAGCAAAATAACAACAAAAACGTACGACATTCGCCAATATATGAAAGAACTAAATTTTCTTGTATTTGACACGCTTTTTTATTTAATTCACATAATGATTCATAGGTTTTATTGTCACTACCGCAAATATATCCGTGCGATGGCATTGTACGAGCGTATTCATCGCAATTGTCCGGACAAAAGCATCGAGGCAAACCATTGTCATCTATTCGACACTTAGACCCATGGGAACATATTATCGATGAGCATACTGAGTCCGCTAAATACAAGTAATCTTTAAAGTATTTTTTTTCCATTCATGCATTCATTCCCTTATTCACTTGCCTTTTCTCGCAAATGGTTGCTGATAGTAAGCATTGCATTGGGCTTGATCTAATCGACATTGATTAGGATACGTTATTCCGGTTCTCTCATCTTGAACTGACTCTCCATCATCATTACAGTCGAATATACATCGGCATTCATCTTGTTCTGTGCACGTCGCATTAAATTCACATTCAATGCGTCCATATTGACAATCTAAGAAAAGTTTCTTTCTATTTCTAAACAAGCGAGAAAGAAAAGTTTTTTTTAGCTTACTTCGTTCATATCGAAACTCAAATAAGGATTGATCTAATAAAACGCGAAAAAAAATTAACATTAAAAAAAATTTAGGTTTTTGGTTTAACTTACTATGCATAGACTCGCTGTCATTGCCATAAAGTGTTGTTACACTCTTTCTCTGAATGCCTAGAAGATTTAAGAACATTATATGTTTTATGCTTCGATAAGAAACATGACAAGAAAAAGTAAATGGCACCTGTTTTCAATGTTCTGTAGACGACAATAATAAGAAAAATACAAGCCAACGCAATAATTATACCAACAAGTATAAGTATAATACGTAAACATTTTCGATTTTTATCTCGATTATGCTGTTCAACAGCAACCGTGTACGCTTTATTGCTAACTGTGCTCATTGGCACTAACAATAATAACAAGCATAACGAGCAGTGACAGACGATGTCGACTTTTTTTAAATTCTTTTTATGTAGTTATGTGGACAACAAAAATCGTGTTCTCTCTTTCTCTATTGCTCTCCTCCTTCTTTGTCTACAAAAGTGATCGTTCGTGCTCGCTCGCTCGTTCACTCGCTCGCTCTGTAGAACTCTTTAATGTCATTAGTTTCTCTATCCTCTGAGCCGATTTTTTTCAGTGAAGAAAAATAGAGAAAATCTAGATTGGTATATATATATATATATATATATTTATATAGAGATGAGAGAGGAAAAGAAAGATGAGAACAGAATCGAATCAAATATGCTGAATTCAATCAATCTCTCGTTCTTTTTCGAGACTTATAAAAAAATCATCTTCGTTTTTTTCCTTTTATTCTGTTTTACGAACGACAAACTTATACTCATTGATGACGATGGACGGTTTGACATGTCATCGTCTCGAAGAAGAGGAAGAAGATAATGTGCCTCAAAATAAATGATCTTCAATTGTGGTTGACGTCTCTCTCTCTCTCTCTCTCTCTCTTGCTCGATCAAAGACAACATCTATATACACAACTCCGGAAATATGTCGTTCGTCGTTGAACATCCCGGCCTCTTAATTCAATCACAATTTCAATGATTAACGACGAGCGTGAAGTGGAAATAAGAGAACCGATACGGACCATCGAGATTGAGATAGTCTCGACTAATTCAAAAGCATCAGTAGACAAAGACAAAAGATACATTGAATTATAAATTAATAAAGAGGAAAAAAATTAATATATGCAAATATGTCTAAATAATCTGAGCCAAAACAGTATTCACACTTTCGACAATATATATTCTGTAGTCATGTCTCATTATAATAATCAAGAATAAAAAAAAATCCCTTGCAATTTACTTCCAATTAGATTAAAATTCTCTAAATAATTGTGTTTTTTATTCTGTCTACCAACAGTGCTCTTTTGTCCAGAGGCTACGGTTTTTTGTTGGTAGGCAAAAAAGATTGAGCTATCGATCGGATTACGTAGACACTGTTCATCATTGGTTGGGTTTAAATGATGACAAGTGTAACCGGAAAAAGAAGAAGATTGGATTATTTCTTTCTTTCTGTTTCTTCTAAGTCAGATTGTATTTCGCTTATGTGTTTTGGGAGAAGATGATGCAGAAGAGACCGAAGGACTCTCTCGTTTATGTGAAATTGAGGGAGTTAGATTGCATCGCTATTAACTTTTTTTATCTATTCCTATCTCATCAATCTTGATGTAATAGAAGTATAATTTTACAAATGTCAATTTTTACTGAACGTGCTAATAGATGAGTATAATACATTGATTTTTCATTAATCGTTACTCGTAGAAAAAAAATAATAATAACAATAAGTATCTATGTGCATTCAAGACAAATTAAATAACTTTATCTTACCCTCGATTACGTTCATATTTGCTAGCGTAACTCGTAATGGTGTAAAACTTGAATAAAATCGTGCGTGAGTAATGCGGACACCAAATATCTTGACATCGTGATATTTTAATTGTGAATTTCCTTCACACACGACTAAATTATCGACGACAATATAGAGTGGCCGTTGTATGTGTGTCGATTGATAGTGTTCAAGTAAATAGGATTCTCCGTGGAGTATTTGAAACACCCAAACAAATGCTGAGTATGGCTGATTCAACGCCCATTGATGAATTGAAAGGACTCGACCGGTAAAAATAACATCAGCCGAATTTTTAATATGTAAAATATTAATAATTGCACACGATTGTATAGATACAATCAGCATCGGTAGGAAAAATAGCCTTCCATTTCGAATCATTTTTGATCTGATAGGATGAATCTGATTTTGGACTTGGAATAAATAAAGAGCCAAAATTAGTCAAAGAATAAAATTATGAACTAGTGTTTTTATTTCAAGATAATCAATCCGATTGATATTCTTTTCTTTTTTGTTTTGCTTCGAGTCATTATTACGAGTCAAGGAAAACAAGTAGTATACAACCGGAAATGGTCAAAATTACTAAGCCTTTCTGTTTTTTTTTCTTTTTTGTTTGCTTTCCCCTCTTTTTTTTCATTACCAAAGTATGGGCCGACCACCCTTATCGTTTTTCATATACTTTATGTATGTCCTAGAAATAATTATAGTGAACATGATTTTTAGACATGTGTACTTTTTGGCATGAATAAAAAAAACATCAACAGCAGCAGCCTACAGAGTTTATTAATTGGCAAAACAAAGTACTAAGCTCGTCTTACAAATGATACTCTTGAATGCCTAAGTCTAATTTTGTTTCTTTTCATAAAACGAATTGATCATTCTCCTATCAAAAATAGACTCGGCATCTAGAGTTATGATTTGTTTCCCTATTTATTTAAAGTCCTTGGTGATGAAAGAAAGTACAAAAAAGAAAAGAAACATTGCCGTTCATCATATTTTCACGTAAAACTTACCAATCGAGTATCTTTTTCTCTTGAAAAACTATTAATAATCACCTATTTTTTGATGAAAAGAAGTATAAGAACAGTTGTATGTGAGTAAGAAGAGAGATTTCTTTTTTTTTCTAAAATGTAATACAACACAAAGAAAATACAAAAAAATGCATTTCGTCTATAATCAAACATTTATCTTTTTGTAACGTTTTCAATCGATATGTGCAAACATGTATCGCTGACAGCGATTCGATTTACCTTGAATACATTTTGTAAGAAGAACATTGAAGAAATTACAAACCAGTTTGATATTAAAAACTGACAGTAGTGAATAGTTTTTCTCTCATCAAAATTTAAAACAAAGAGCCATATTATGTGTAAAAAAAAACTGTTATAAATTTTGATAAATCTATATCTATGAATTATTACTATAGGAAAGTCTATTAGAATATGTATATATATATATATATATATATATCTATTTTTGTGGAGCTCGTTTTAGAGATTGTCTGTACAGAGATGTTATTAATAAATTTTGACCTTACTGGTCTCTCGATATCAAGGCATGGTAACAAACATAAGTTGTTTTTTCGAGCGTTAAAAGTCAAGCATAGTAACATTTTCTTTATCGAGTTTATTATAATATGATTCTTTCGCAAATAGAAACAAAAATGTCACGATGTCCTATTCTTAATATTCATATGGTTCGAATTTGCTTGTTTGCTTTTTCAAAGATATTCTTGTTGACTTGTAAAAGTTTGAATGAAGTTTCTTGGAAATATTTAGGTATTCTTTTACAAATTACAAAATAATTACCAACATAATACTAAAACAAAATAATCGAAGATGACAATGCCAAAAATAAGCAGCTATTTATGTCATAATAATGTTATGCATTTTGATTGATTGAGAGAATCTTGTATTATTAGCAAACATGGAAGAAAATTGATCTTGAAATCTTTTGAGTTTGTTGGAAGAGTTCTTGAAAAAGAAAAGAAATTTATTTTGTTAGTTCCATAAATATATGAATCCATAATCGAGAATGAAGTATGAAATAAAATACATTTATTTTAATTTTATACGTTAAAGGAAATCCTTGTTTCTAGTTTTATTTGAGTTTAAGTTTGTCCCATATTGGCTAACACTAAATGACATTCTATATATTGACATGATTGAGAATAACAGTAGGTATCTTCTTTAAAGCAGTATGGCAATATTTCAGTTCCTAGTTACATTGATATTTCGTCAAAGCAAAAGTTTCTTTAAAAAATTGATTAAAAATCAATGCAAAGAATTTCTAATAGTAAGAAAATGCCCAAACAAGACAAACCATTGTATCTGCGGTTCCATTGCAGTTTTACCTGAATAGATCAAAGGCATGATTGAAAAATCTATTTAACTTGGTAACACTTTGAGAATAGAAAAAAAATGCTCCACAGCGTGCCTGAATGACAAGAAAGTCAATTTAAAAAAAAACTTGAGATGCAAAAGATAAATAAATCTTCTTAGATTTCTGATTTCAGAACGAAGGATTCAGTCTTCTGTTCTTGCGTTTCTAATCCTTTGCGATTGTTTCGGCCAAAATCTTCAACGAAAATATTCTTTTCTTTTCATAAGTAGCTACTTTCTTTTTTGAACCTTGAAAAAACTTCTCCGCATTCAATAAAACTAATCATAGAAAGCTGTATCTCATCTGAAAATAAAGATTGAAATATAGAACGGAAATCTTAGCGCACGATACTTTTCAGTTAGTATCTGTATTTTCTGTTGTACTGAAAACTTATATACATCCTTTTAATTTTGGTTTTCTAAAGCATAAAAAAAATATAAAGGAAACTTTCAAAGAATCATAACGTGGCTTTGCACGATAATATCATATTAGATTCAAAAAATTCTATTCTGAATTTCTATTTTTAATAATTTAGTTGTTGATTAGTTATGCACAACTTTATATTTCAAAAGCTGATTCTCTCTTAACTTTGGATGCTTGTCTATTGCATTGGCAATCAATCATTTGAGATTTCTCAAGACAACTTAAAAGAAATCGTAAACTATTACACTCTTTAATTGATAAAAAGTTGTTTTCATTTCAGTGGATTCTCTAACTTGAACTTATTGGCAAATAGAAAATATGTGCATAAGTAAAATATTTAGATTACAATTCTTAAATGATTCTATTTCAGTGTTGTCATCAATATAGTATTTCAAAATTGAGAGTAACTATCGTATGCATCATTGTAAAGTTTAAAGAAAAGAGAGATATCCGAAGCCAAATAAAAGCGATTGGCAAGTTTTGTTACCGATATTTGCAGGAGAATATAAAAATGATTTAGTTAAGCCAATATTCGAAATATTTTCTATTATCAGTTGATCATATAAAACGTTAATCTGGGCAAAAGCTCCACCATTTTCCAAGCAAGATTTATCCAATGTAGCTTCAGCTTCAAATAAAACTTTTGGATTTAAAGATTAAGCCTGCTAGTAATCTTCTGATTTCTAAATTTTATTTGTGACAAACATGATTATCTGATATTTAAATATCAATTTTTTGTATAATCTCCAGTCGTTTCTTTTTTTTTTGGTACTCTGATTAATACAGTAATTTGACGACTGATCGGCGTCGTTTAATTTAGCATATGGGCTAAAATCTTCGAATGCATCATTCAGAATTTAGTTCGATTTGATACAAGTAAGAATTAATATAGAAAATAGTCGATTCTCTTAGAAGTTTTTATTCGAATGACTTTTGTACGAATATAGAATGATTAGTTTATCATGGCAAAATTTTTCATTAAGGGCAGTTTGTATTTTCATGCTAGTTAGAAGGCATAATATGTTGAATCAGTGCAACGAATTTAATGGGGTAGACAACAGTAATTACTCTATCTTGTGGACTCCAGGAGACAATGCATTAAGTGTTGGTACTTTTTTGAAAGTTAAAAATTGACGGTCATTTATTTCTAATGCTACTATTTTAGTTGGCGTTTAGGTTGATTAATTTGGGACTTGAACTTTTTATAGTACTAAGACAATCTGCTTTTCTTCATGAAAAATCACTACAATAAAACTAAAATATCCGCCATACAGCTCTGATGGTTTTTTTTTCGTTCACAATACTTTGAGCTGATATAGTTTTCTCCAAAAGTTGCTGAATTCAGCATCTTTTAAAGTGAATCAATTAAAGTTTTAGGGATTTACCAAAATTTGAACGGACACGATTGTGAAAGCATCAGAATTCATTGGGATTTGTTTGAAATTAAGAGACGATGTAAGAATCGAGATAGATTTATTTGTGTACAAAATGTTTAGAAAAAATTAGGTCAAATGAAAAATTCCCATTCTCGAGTTTCATAGGTGCCAAAAAAACAGATGCCTTTGCTTCTAGAGACAATTTCGGGCAGACCTATCACCTCATTTGGTTCATTGGTATATATCTTATCATAGACTTAACTTGAAGTAGAATGGCAATAGTTCTGAGCAAAGGTTCGAAGATAATTTTGCATAGCACTATAGACTCCACCTTATGTGCATTATCAGAACTCAGAATCGATTGAAAACTTCGTGAATTATTTGACTTTTTAAGAGTGTATTATAATTCATTTGGATCTACAAAAAATATTCCTCTTTTTTTCTATCTCAATCAAACTAATAAAAAGCTATGTTTGATATTGACTTGAATTGGAGATAGTAACAATTCTTTATCAGTACAAGATTTTATTCAAATAAATAAGAGCAATGATGGAAATGTAACACACAATAGTTTATTAAAATTCGATTTACTAGCCATTGCTTTAGCTTCTACTAAAGGCTAAAATATGTTTACATGTCGAACATCATAAGAGAGACGGAATGAAATCAAGCATTCAAACAATCACAGAAGGCACGAGCAATACGATAATAAGTTGATTTACCAATTCTATCTCTTAAATATCAACACTCCATATTTCATTCGATAAATCATGTAGTCTTTATGAGAAGAGAAATATTTCAATTGTCACGAAGCCAAAATGTCTTCCAATCCTATTCGAATCTCTCTGTATTGAATGATTCAATCGTTATTTTTAAACCAAGTAATAGTTACTAATAGTAACAGTAAAGCTTTTAATCAAATTTTCTTAAAAATTGAAACTTATAAACATGCAATATTGTCGAAAAACAGTGAGAGATTGAAAAAGGGTAGCAAACTTTGTAATCTCTCCAGTTGACATGAAAGATTTCTTAAATTTGATTTTTACTATTATACATTATTTTAAATACGATTCTTTCCCAATAGGAGCATCTTTGGGTGTGGATAAATCTATGATTTCGATTAGCATTCATTTTATTTATATAACATGAAACAATGTGCACATCAAACGTGAATATATTTCCAAAAACTGGGCAAACATT